CCCCCCCCCCCCTAAGGGAGGTAGGAACGCCTACCTTGCCTTTTTCTTTATTAATTAAATAAAAAGAATAATAGGCGCGGCTCCGGGGACGTAGGGAGGCCGATATTAGTATACCGTGGCCGTTATACGGCGGAGACCCCGCGGCACCCTTTCGGCCCCCGCCCTATCACTAATAACCGGCCTAGGCTAACCCGAACTATAGCCTACTACCCTTACCGTTAGCTACTAGCCTAAAGGTATAATTCAGATACGTAGACGGGGTAAACCGGAGCTATATCGGCCCCGCCGAGGCACTACTCTAACTAAGGATAAGTATAAAGGTTTTTCCCCTGGGGCCCCGGGTTTTTCCCCTTTATAGCCACCCGAGAAGGACTATATAGTCTAAATAGGCTCCTGTAGATTGAATAGGATAGCGGAGTAAGAATAATAATAATAATAATAATATTATTATATAGCCTTTACTCTATTTATTATATAGTATAAAGTTATTAAAATACAATTTTAAACGCTAATTAACTATAGGTATATAATAAAAGTAAAGTTAATAGATTTACTAAGATAGCGACTATAATTATTACCTCCTTTTTATAATACTATTATAATAATACTATAATACTAGCACTACTATATAACTAAAAGATTTAATAGATAGTATTATTTTAGGCTTATTTATATAGATTCTTAATAAACTTACTTCTTATAATATAAGCCCCCCCCCCCCTAAGTAGGATATATAATATAATATTACCATTACAAATATATAAAGGCGCCTTAAGAAAATAAAACCCTAGGTAGCGGTAAACCTAGATAAACTACTAGTAGGGCTTTTAAAGGCTTATAAACCCCGTTTATACTAATAAATAAGTATTATTTTTATAGTATAGTTTAAAGTAAGTTATTATCTAAAAAGATACTATTATACTATTATAATAATCCTTAAAAAATAAGGCCGGCCTACTCCTTAGTATTATTAAATAAAATAGCGGAGTAGGATTAGTAATAATACTATAAAGTATATATTATCTTTAGTTCTATAATTTATATAATAAGTACTAAAACTTCGAAGACGAATAATATAAATAAATAAATAAAGAAATAAATAATAAAAGTAACCTAATTCGCCTTACTTAATTCCCGCGTATAATCTAGTTCTGTAACGCCCTAGCTCTCGCCTATAGCTCCTAAAGTTCCTCGAGAGTACTTTATATACTCCTACTCGTGGTTCCGTTTATATTACGTACCCCTACAGACTACGACTATATAGCTATGCGACGTAGATTGGGTTATACCTGTATCGCTATACGACGTAGGTCAGGTTACGACCTTCTAGCCCTCGCCCGTATACTAGAGCGTTTTCGAATTAGTTTAGGATTTATTCAGGATCTATTTAGAATCTATTCGAGGAATATATACGTACCTATTACCACGCGAAGTAGCACGGCGTAGTGGTATACCGCTAGACGACACGCTCCGGAATAAACGGGTATCGTTATTATCACTAAAGTCGGAACCGGGAAAAGGGCTTTTAGTACGTTACCGCTACCGGCTACGTACGCTACCGCCACTATCACTATTACTATCTGGAAAGTCGTTTTCTTTAGCGGCATGGCGGCGTTATTTCTGCTTTATTAAATATTAATAACTAAAACTATAGTTAAGTAAATAAAGAGTACTCACGATTTCGGCGAAGAGTATTCTAATACCGGCTAGTAAGCGTAGTATCGCGGTAAGATAGCCGTGCTTATCTGGTCCGAATAATATAAGCCTGGTCGTACTAGTCCTGATCGTACTGGCTATACCCCGTAATAACCTGGAAAAGCGGAACGTATCGCCTAGTCCACTTATAGGAGTATTTATATAGGATCTCGACGATATTTATATCGCTACGTAGTTTATCCTAGTTTTCGGCTAGTATAGAGAAGGTAAGGCGATATAAACCAGAACGGATAATAGGGCGTCTCTTATACCGTGCCTAGCCCTTAAGTTCCGACTCGTTTATCGTGATTAAATCGTAAAGTTCGTTATACTAATCGATACTTATAGTATATAGTAACGATATTATTCTCGTATACTTTAAGTACTACCCTCGATTAGGACCTATAAGCCGCTTATAACCTCGCCGGAAATATACTCCGTAGAGACGGATATAGCGTAGTAAGTGCTACTCCTAATCACGGTGTAGTTCTATATCTATATCTATTTATAGGTAGGTACTAAGTCCTATTATTATAGTTATATTAGCGATTCGAATCTAGATCTATTTAGGATTAATTCAGGATTAATTATATATATATATACCTCGTATATTTTAGTAGTCTTAGTTAATAGTGGTTCTAACTAAACCCTCTCTATAAATATATTACTATTTTACCTCTAGATTATACCGGTCTTTAAAGATACTAAACACGGTTTGGTATATATACAGGTATATATTAGTAGTTTCACGATTCGTGAAGACGCGTAGAAGTGGAATAGCTATAATAGCGATTAGTAACGTATATAAAGGGTAAGGAATTATTACCTTTAGATGCTTATTCACTATACTATCCCTAGATCACCTCGATATAGCCCGTTATCCGAAGATATTTATAATTTGTATTATGCAGAAAATACTCTATAGAAGACTCTCTCCACTTATTAACCTATACTTAATAAAAATAAATCACTATCCAGCTACTCCCAGATTCGTAGATATACTAGATATACTTCTAAAAGTTAGTATTTAGGTTTCTGCTTAGTATAAAAACACTCACTTCATTATTCTTATAGCGGTATCTATTATAAAGATACCGTATAGAAAGTAATATAGAAGCGTATAGGTAAATACTCGCGTGCTCTTTTCAAATAATTTCCCTTAGTACGTCTTTATTTACTAGACTTATATAAATATCGGTAATAGAACGTCCCTGATATTAACGAATAAACCGAGCTAATATATCAGATTAAAGGAAAGAGTCTAAAATAGTTAGAATATACTTAAATAAATCTTATATAGGACTTCCTTATCGTTATATATAGGTTACTAATCTCCCTTATAATCCCACGAAGACCTTGTATAATAGATAGGGGTATCTTTTTAGGTAGGGGCAGAATATAACTATATATTCTATTGGAAGCCACGATAATCTAAGGGATCTAGTTTAGGTTTACTAGTATAAAGAAGTTTAATTTAACACTATAGGGTACCCGTTTAATGTCGGGTTACTTAAGATAGTAGACTACGTCTATTATAGATTAGCTATTAAACTAATCCCAAATTAATCCAGATTAGATCTAGATTAGGTTAGGTAACTAACTTACCGTATTTTTTTCTCCTCCTCCTATTATTTATAAATAAATAATACTCGTATTCGTTATCTAACTCCTTTACTAAGACGATACCTTATATAAGCCTTATAATAAGGTTATAATAGTTACTATAACTTAGGAGGATAATCGTGGAGAAATACTTAGGTCGTGTCCGGTGATAATTAGTATAGCGTATAAAAACCTATCAAACGTTCCTAAGGATAATTACGTGCGTGTTTTCGGTCACTAATAGTCTATATATTACTATCCCTCCCTCGTAGGCTTACTGCTTATTAAAACGCCTTAGGATTACGACGGCGTAGCTAATAGCTGCCTTCTTAGGAGTAAGGTCTTTAACTCGTGTACGGATAGCGGAAATCGACTCTGCTAGCTTTTCTATAATCCTATTATAGCCGACTCTAAGTTCCGGAGTAAGATACGGATATATAATACCACCGGTATAAAGGAATATATACCGTGTAATAATAGCCCCGGAGAACGCTATACTTATAACCACCTTACCCGGGAACGCTCGCTTAATATAGTACTATATTATTTTCTAGGGCGATTTAACGTCTTTAGGATCTAGAGATATAATCGGAATAATATAGGTAATACTATCGGTGGCGGTTTAGGGGAATTCGGGAATTATAGCAGCGAATAAAAGCGTAGTAGCGTAAAGAGCGTTTTTAAGAACTTCTCGGCGGTTATTCTGATTAGGGTCGGCAGATAGAAGGAGCCCGGTTTCGTCGGTATTTTATTACTATATAGAAAGGTATTAGTTATTATAATTACTTTATAGTAAGGTGCTTTTTACCACTTTAACACGCTATCGGGACTACTCCCTTTCCGGGTTCGGCTCTTTAATATCCTTATCCCCCCTTAAAGCGTTATCGATTATTAGAAGTCTCGGAAAACTATCACTATTATCGCCTCCCAGAGGGGGAATAGTATCGTTACTATTAGGAGCTAAAGGTTAATTCGTACCGTTAAAAGGCGGATCGGGCGTTAGATTAGGCGGCGAATATAAAAAGTCCGTAAAAGATTCTAGATTAAAATTAATAAGGTCGGAATTTAATCCGAATAAAAGATCTATCTTCGCGGTTAGTTATTAGTTCTGCTTTCGGAATTAAATCCTACTATATACTGGATTAATTCAGAATCGATTTAGGAAGTATTAATTTTTTCGCACGCACGAGTAAGCGTTAATACCTACCCTCTATTACTCTCCCGTCCCGTTAACCTCACCCGACCATTACTATTAGCTTAGCGAGTAATAGTCGGGCGAGAAGTATAGGCTATAGTAATAGTCAGGTCTGGTGAACTTTACGCTAGCAGGGGGGTAATAGTCAGGTCAGCAGGGGGGGCAATGGTCAGTTGAACTGTAGTCTCGTATGGGATGCCAAGATGTTCTCGACTAAGGTACGCAATAGTCGTGCTTTTGAAAAACTTGGTATATCACCCAGGTAGGTAGTTGCTTGCCTCTAACGCATGCTAGCCATTCACTAGCAAAACTGGGCCAGGGACCAGGCGGAGGAATGAGGCAAGGAACCTCACCTGCCGGTCTGGGGACTTCCTCCCTTAGATGGCCAGGACTGATCGTCATCTCTCTGTGACGCATCGGAGATACTACTGTATACTCTGCCTTACAGAGCTTGTAAGTTGTGGTGCTCTTGGCGCTGTGGAAGGGATACCTGACGATGTTACACAGACTCATGTGATGATTCGAGAAGGGAAAGAGTAACCCACACGACTACCTCGAGTCCTACCGACTTGGAAGACAGATGACGAGTGGTAGGCACGATGAACTACATGTCTTCCATTGTCATCTCCTTGTTCGGTACCGAGTACCTACCTTAGGTACCTAGACACCTGTCAGATTTCGGTCTTCAAGTATCTTGCCCATCCTAAATGTGTATATCCAGTGCGTTGCCACTACTTCTCTTGTTCGCCCGAGATGGGTCCTTTTTCAGCTTCAGGAATTACATGGTCCAGTCCCAGGCTCCCAAGGTCTCGCATTATATGTCGGGGAGGAACTGTCTGACAGAATAACCTCAAATCCTATCTCACGACCTATATCGTTTTTGAGATGTGCATTGATGTCATGTCTACCTTACCTTATACACGTACGAGATGCCGTGATCTATTCTTATTCCCTCTCACCTCCTTTCGGGGCACTTCCCTATCTGCCGCATGGCCATTTGGTTTATCAACATCTCGGTACTGGCTAACTTACTGAATCAACCCTCCTCTCCATGGGCTTCCACCCCCTCACCTATTCCGCCCATTCCGCTTACACAATCTGACGACGTTTTCGGCCCAGCGACACGCTGTACAAACCGCCATGTCTGCACTCTGCTGTTGTCGACGTCGTGGACGTGGCGTTGACCAAGATTCTGGCCGATTGCACGCACAGGAACCTGTGCCCCTACCCGTCCTACCCCCCCTTCATCTCTCCGACTTATGTCTTGCGGGCGCCCTCTCTGCTACCCAGGGGAATAAAGACATCGCCTTCCCACAGACCACAGGTGCCTCGCCGCCGACATCTGTGTCCATGTCCTGCCATGAACCTTCAGAGGACGAACCGGATCGCAGAGCTGAACTAAGACGCATCATGCACAAGAGGATTCAACAAGAACTCAGCGGCGAGCACGCACCTCCAGGACTGAGCGGTAAACGGCCTCCAGCAAACGCGATACCGGCAGAGTTTCCGGGCCACGGCCCTCGCGACACTCTCGAGTTCTCCATAGCCGAAGCATCGTCGGCTGTTGGGCTGGTTCACTCTGATCCTGGCGAGGTTCAGCGTGGCGGCAGCCGCAGTGACAGTAAGGCACCGGTGCGGCGACGAGGCAGCTATCCGCAGGTATCACCCAAGAGCAGCGTAAAACACTGGGTGAGAAGATTGGTTTTTCGCCTACGAGCTGCTTCATCGGCGGTCCCTCCATCGCACGACATGCCTCCTGTAAACCAACTTACTCCTCCCGGGGCTGCGTCCCCTCAAGGATGGCATCTCTCTGCCGATGGAAGCCAGGTCAACCGAGTTGCCGCTGTCGATGTTCCTCTCGAAACCGCCCACTCCGATAAGGCGCAAGATGATATATCGCTCCTAAGAAGTTGGTTAACCACCCAAGAACTCGCGTATCCTGACAGACGCCCTGGTGATACCGTCTCACATCAGACCGCGCCCTTCGCTAAGCGAAATGACCAGCCTGCCCTGGAGTCTGAAGCCCTCAGGCTTCCCATAATTCCATCACCGTCCTGTCTTTCGACACCAAGACAGTTAACTGAGGTCCGGCAATCCGAGTCGGGTCCTGAGACCGCGCATACCGTTGCATCGCGCCTCGAAATGCCCTCTGATTTGCCAAGTCTCCCGGTGAGCGGAGATGAGGCGGATAGAACACTGGCGACTGGAACCGGCGTATGCACTCCAGTCTATTTGATGCCCCTACCATCCCCAAAGTTGGAGAAGACTGCAACGGACCTCTAGAGGCGGGCCATTCAGCTTGAGCGGGAATCCCGGGAGTCCCAGGCGAAGACGATGTCTGAGAAGAGAGGGAATAGCCCAGCGAGCAGTATTTCTGCTCATCTCAAGGTCGGGAAATGGAGAAGAGGGCGAACGAGCGACTCCCACGCGTCAAATACCACCCCGGAAAGTCCAAGCTTGGCTGACCGCCGCAGTCAAACTGTCGACTCTCGCTCCAAGTCTTCGGTCCCTCATACATCGAACTGGCGGACAGGTAAACTGACCGCACGTACGAGACAGCAAAACCCCAAGTTCCCGGCGGATGGTTATGATTCGTACCACGGACGGAGGACGATCAAGACATACACGTTACCTCCGGAGTCATGGTCCAAATGGCCGTCCTACAACAGAGCGGAGCGGACAGCCTCAGCAGGACTCAAGGACAGAGTGAAACCCAGAGACTTCGCAGTGACTGGGTCATCCGGAGACGGCCGCCTCTTCTGGGTCACGGACAGAAACTTGGCTGAAAGCGAACCGATCAGATATTCCTTCTCCAGCCGACTCATCCAAGGCGTGAAGACTGGCTTTGGAAATCTGCTAGGGTCAAAGACGCCATCTGCGAGTCAAGTGAAGATCCCGGCAAAGATCAAACGAAGGCATCGCAGTAGTGGCCAGCTGGAATATCCAGAGCTCGAGATCCTCCCAACAGAAGGCGGGTATAAAGAACTCAGGGCTCTCGGGCGAGCCATCGAGTCGATGAAGAACGGCCCGCCCCTCGAGAGAGTTGATCCGTTAGACATCGCGAGAGACGCCGAAGCCAGGACATGTTGGACGCAACCTCGCGAAATACTGCCTGTGCCGCCGAGGCCTGGCATGACGGAGGAGAATCGACGAAACGAAGCTATCAACATGCTTCGTCCCACCACCGACAAAAGAAAGGACGGACCAGCCACTCTAGCCTATTCGGTGACCCGTCACTACAGGGAGTCCATGATGTCGCGCGATACGCCTGTATCGACTGAACATTTTGAGACACCGCCCAGCCGCGTATCACCGACCCCGTCTCCCCGTTCCCGGTCGGCTGTCTCTTGAAGTGCGACGTGGATGTCATGCCTCTTAAACCGGAGCAAAATCGGAAGCTCGAGGTGGAATAGTACAACGATGGCCTGGCAGAGACAAGACTTGGAGCTCAAGATGAGCCGTCTCCAACTGAGCATCAACGAGAAACGCTCGCAGCATGTGTTTTTTTGCCTCCCATGTCGGCGACAGCATTCTAGATCCATCGTTTTATCCAGAAAAAAATATCAGCACCCGCGTGGGGGACCTTGGAGCGGAATGCATCGTATGAGGGTCGATGGACGGTTCCCCCGGGGGTGGTGTGCAGCGGGCATCGCACTGGCGTAATAGAGAATATGAGTATTTCGTGGTGGCATATTTGCCTTGATTCATGATTGTCATTATCATTATTCATGATCCAAGTGTGATATGGGCTACGTTCCCCTGTATCCCAACCAGAGAAGAGAGCCCCTAATGCTGCAAACATGCCTCTATGCACATGATGGGCTGACGATAGCCCAGAATACGGCAACTGGAGAGAGGCGCAAAACCACAGGCTACCGTAGCGAACCTCAACCAAGGATTACGTCGTCGTATTGTTGCGTATCAAGATACTTCGCCAGGACATCTCGCAAGGCAGCACGGCTCCGTGTGATCTCCGGGAAGACATCCGCAATGGGACGTAGGTTTGTTCGCATACTCTCCACATGACTAGCCACCTGGATGGGGAGGGCAGAGAGCTCAGGGTGATCGAGTCCGTGAAAGAGAGGATCGCTACCCGAGCGCCCCTCTCCTTCCGGACCTCCTACTCTGAACGTCGCTTCCTGTCGCGCCCTGGATTCGGCCAGGGTGGTTTGTCCGTCCGGCAGCGACTGCGGCTGCGGCTGCGGCTGCGGTACGAGGGGGTGCGCCTTGCGGAGGCCGTCGCGCAGGCCGCGGATCTCGGAGCGGGCGTTGGTCTCGAGGGAGTCGAGATCGGCGTAGTCGCGTTCCAGGGCGGCCTCCTCGCGGGCGAGCTCGGCGCGGAGGAGCTGGTTACCGTGGAGTAGGGTGTCCTGGGTGCGTTCGAGGGACTGCGTGGCTGCGACGCAGCGGTCAAAGTCGAGTTCTTCGTCGCGTGGGTCGACGACGGGTTTTGGACCCTTTTTGTTACCGTTGCCGTTCGGGCCGCCGGAGGTGCGACGGGCGGCGTTGGATGAGGAGGATTGCGAGAGGGCCGGTGGGAAGGGAAAGTTGCGGGTGAGGCGGCGGGTGAGGTGTTTTGATACGACACGGAGGGCTTGGGCGGCTTGGTTGCGCCGTTTCGGGTTCGAGAGGCCTTGGAGAATGGGGCGCTCAGCGAGGTGGAGGAGGGAGGAGGCGATGGTAATGGAGGCGGTGGGGAGGGGGGTCCAAGACTCCTCGACTTTGGTCCGGGGGATGGTGAGGTTGCGGGGAGCTATGCGGCGGTATTTCCTGGGGGGCGATGGAGGAGGTGGAGGGTTTCTTGCGTCGACTTCTGTCCGACGGCGCTTTTTCGACGAAGAGACTGGCTCCTCTTGCGGGTGCGCCGAGGCGGCATGCCTGGAGGGCAGGGTGGTTGTTTGGGCTGAGCGCTTCGTGGAGTCGGAGTGTGGTGCCTCTGAGATTTGCTGTGAGGGTGGTTTGCGACGGCGCTGCTGGGCCGGCTCCGGCGCATCGTTGGTCTGTTTCCTACCCTTTGGCCCTAATGGCCTTGATGGACGAAGTTTGGCAGATGCTTTCGATTTGGCATTACCTGTTGAATCCGAAGCAGATTTCCTTTGTGAGTCTTTCTGCCCAGCCTGCCGCCTAGCCTCGTGGGTGCCGGTTGTGTTATGCAAAGGGCCAACCGATCCTTCAATGGATTCCACCTCCTCCCCGGTGGTGCGCACGGAATCTGACACTCTCCCTCTCCTCCTCTGACCCTTTCTAGATGCCCCCGGGGTATCGACCGACTCATCGGCTAGCTCGTCCTCGGGCGCATTGTCTCCGCGGGGCCGCGATTGCGATTCTGATTCCTGGGCCGCAGCTCTTCGAGCCTTGGGAGGGGGTTGCTTCTTTGGTGTGCTCTGTATGTGGTCCTCAAAGCTCAACTCTTCGTTCTCATCCTGAGGTAATTCCGGCACTTGCGGCTCCGACCGGGGTTCTGTTTCTGTCCGGGTTGCTGGTGCAGTTTCTGGTTCTGTCTGTGGTCGCGACACGCTCTTCGACTGGGACGCGCTGGTGGTTCGAGTTGGCTTTTTGCCCTTGCCCTTGGCTTTAGGAGGCTGAATAATTTAGCGAGGAATAATTCTCGTTCGTAAAATAGAGTAACTCACCATTGTGGATGCCGCGGGGGCAGGGCTAGCCAATGTCGGGAGAATGGTGGACGGATATGTCGATTTTAACGTTGGCCATCGGCGCGTCGATGATATCAGAGCTGCCTTTTACTGAGGTCGCGTCAGAGCTGGCTCTACACAGCTAGTGGGGTGACACTGCCTTACATAAGCTAGTAGATGGGCCCAGGCAGATTTAGAATTCAGGAGGTACCTCAGTATTACTACCTAGGTACGGATAATTGATTACGGAGTACCTTACCACTGGGTTGGGGTGCTGCCTCGACCAGAACCAGAAACGGTCGGTCCAAACTCGGCCTTGCCATGGCAGTGTTGCTTGTATCGAGAAGGGAAAAGGTATAGATACCTGGAGCGACTCATCGGAGATGGGCATGGCTCGAGATACTTGAAGTGCTTCCTTGTATCGATACCCATGCGTGACCATTGGGCCGGGCCCCGCGACAAGGACCCAGGATCAGGCAGACCCGTCTCTCCCGTCATCTGCTGGATCTCCCGCGTCCAACATCTGTCAACATCTCCTTTTATTTTATTTTTTTCTCCATTAAGTGTTTTCCACTATCAATCCTTCAGCCGCCATTTTAGATTGATTCTTTCCCCATAAACAATTCGTTTATTCTTTTTATATATTTTTTGTTGGGGTTCTTTCTTTAATTAGCGTCCATCCGCATTCCGAACCTCGCTTAATTTTGAAGGATCTCCTCCAGACAAAAACTGAACTCGCGAGTTGAACTCTCTTCAGCGATCGCTCTTCTTGCTCCTTGAAACCTGCGGCTCTTCTCCGACCACTAGCACCCTCTTACAGTCAAAATGCGTGTGTCCGTATCTACCCTCCTTGCGCTCCCGCTCTTTGCGGTGTCTGCCCAAGCGCAGTTTGAGCAGTACCAAGACCAGCTCCAGACCTACCTGAACAAGTTTGCCTCGTACATCCCGAACACCAACCGCGTCGATGCCGCCGACGCCGCCGAAGCCAAGACCGGCGAGAAGAAGATGTCCGTCCTGACCCTCGACAACTGGCAGCAGACCTTGTACGAGCCTGTCGCTCCCGGCACCACCCAGCCCGAGGAGTGGTGGGTGCTCATCACTGGACGGAACAAGACCTGCTTCGGTTCGTGCTACTTTACATTTTCTACCCAACACCCCCTATACACCATTCAGCAACATGACTAAAACAGGCAACTAACGCGATTTTTTTTTTTTTACTTCAGGCCGCTGTGATCAGGTCAATGCAGCTTTCAATGAGACGGCCATCAAGTTCGCCACCCTCCCCGAGTCGGAGGTGCCGCATATGGCCTACCTCAACTGCGACGACCAGCCTGTTCTGTGTAACATCTTCTCCGTTGGCCCCGCCAGCCTTTGGGCCATGGACATGCTGCCTCCCGGCAACGAGATCAATATCTGGGGCAAGCGTCTGAACACCACCACCACCACCACGCAGGACCTCCTGGACCTTTATGCCGACAAGGAGAAGTCCGAGTTCAAGCTCGTCACTCACGTCTTCCACCCTTTCAACGGCTGGTTCGCCCAAAACGGCCTCTCCGTGGCCGTGGCCTATGTCCTCTGGTTTTTTACTGTCGTTCCCAACTGGACGATCATGCTGCTCGTCTCCTTTGCCAGCCGGAGCATGATGAATCGCCGCATGCCCGGCCAATAAGTGCCGCGCTGATATCATGGCATGATATGACCAAATCTAAAAGATGGGGAGGGAGAATCGACTGTTGGATGGTGGTGGTCGGACTGGTTTCACTCTCCCTCTCCGTTCCGTTGACATTTCGATGGACGGACGTGTATTGGAAGTGCGAAGCGCCAGTCGAGCGAATGAGGTCGAGGGGCTCTTTATCCTTTCCAGTGTATTTATACCGTATTTGACATGCTTAAAACCGAACGTGGTTGTTTTTGGGTTCATTTCATCTCGTGTTATTTATTTCTTGGCGTGGCATTGTTCCTGTAGGCCCTTGAGACCTTGGATGACTTCTTCGGGCAAGTGGGCGTTAGACAGGCGGCCGTAGCGCAGGTCGCTCAATCCGCCCACGGCCCGCTGCACCGAGTGAATGAGAGCGGCCTCCTCGGCTTCAAGTTGACGAATCTCGGCCTCCAAGTCTGCAACGGCGCTCTCCATCACAGAGAGGACGGACTGAAGGGTGTGCCTGGAACTGTGGCCCGAATCGTCTCCGAAGAGCTAGACCGGATTCAGTCAGGTATACAGCACCCCTGGACTGCCATAGAGCACCCATCGGCGGTCCGTAACTCTACGAGAGAGGTGGGGTTGGATAGACTTACAGCGTTTTCAATCTGGAGCTCGGGATCGGCTTCGTGTTCGGCAGCTTCTCTCCTTGAGCGGGCGGTCTCGCGACGCAGAGCCTTGCCGTGCTTCTCCTCGGCAGCAATGTTCTCGGTGACGGCATCAACGGTGGCGTTCCTCTGATGTTGCAGATGTCGATATAGAGAGCGGATCTGAGGGTTCGACTGCTGGGATCTCGGGAAGAAGGCGGTGAACTGCTCGAGGGTGATGATGGCGGGAAGTTTGGCGGCAATGGTGAGGTAATTGGACAGAATAGTACTCTCCGTAGGTGCCATGATGGAAGGGTTAGGTTGTTTGAGGCGATAATGACTCCTATGAGTTTCAATTAAGGGAAATTGGAAATTTCGGTCATGAAGTGGGATGTTTGTTGAATATGAGCTGTTGAAGAGGAGCTCTGAAAAGAAAGAGGGCCCTGGTAATAAGTAGGCATCCGTACTGAACATAAATCAGGCGCAAAAGTTGACGGTCAACTTGTGAAGGTGAGACGGCGAGGTTGACGCCTTAACTACTCCGTAAGAAGATTGAGACGCGCTTTGCATCAACTGGACGCATTTCTCCAATGAATAACTGGTCTCTTGCGACGATGACCGTTTGACAGGCTGGCAGGAAGAGTCTCTGATCTCCAGTGATACGAATGCTCAAGAAAGTGCCGCAGCTCGAGCTACGGATATTATTTCCTGCCAACTTTTGACATTCACTTATGGAGACTTTCCGCCTATCCAGTGACCACGCGAACTGGGAACTCGTGAGGGAAAAGCCCCCTTACAGTGCGATAGTGCATTGAGCGTAGACTATACTGTGTGAAGCGTGTTTTACCCTGGAAATACAGTGGTCGCATAAATACGTAGTATCCACTGGTCTCGTTTGCGCACTGTACGTGTTTCAGTGCTCGTGTATTCCATATCGATATTTTGTACCTGGCGACTAAACAGCTACATAAAAGTCAGAGTCACTGCACTGTGCAGGAGCCTGATTAGTGCCGCATTTACAGCACCTAGACTTGCCTCGGAGACAGTGCATATAAGAATAAACACTGGTCCAGACGTCGTTCTGACGCCGACCTTTTGAATCTCCAACAGCCTACTCCGTAATTACACACAGTTTAGTGTTCCAAACCCACGGGATCAACAGGAAAACCTTTTACTATAAGCTTAATTGTTCATTTGGAAGTCTCGACCCGCGTCATCTTTTTTATCTGTCCAGCACTCCAAACCTGAGCATCTCAGAGTAGCTTCGAGCTAGCCAGCATGGCTCCCCCTCGCCAGCCGGCCCAGCCTTTCGCCAAGGACGAACGTGTCCTTTGCTTCCATCACGAGATGCTTTACGAGGCCAAGATTCTGGATATCCAGACCTCTGAAGGAAGCGAAGGCGGTTATCAGTATAAGGTCCACTACAAGGGCTGGAAGAACACCTGGGACGACTGGGTGCCTGCTGACCGTATCCGCAAGTTCACCGAACAGAACAAGGAGCTTGCTGCGCAGCTCCATGCCCAGATCAAGCACTTGCAGAAGAACAGCACCAAGGTTCCCAAGAAGATCGGTCGCGCGACTGGCACCGATTCGGCCCGCGTCAGTGAAGAGCGAAGCTCGGGCATGGGCGTGCTTGCCGGAGGTCGAGGACCCCGACGTGCTCGGGACTATGACCTGGAGCAGGTGAGTTGGTCGCCTGTGGTCGCCTGTTTTCTTTAGTCTCCACTCTTGTTGTGGCTCGTCTCTGTTGGTTTTGTGTTGCTTGCGTCGTTCCTGTTGTTTTTGTTTTCAAGTTGGCTGTTTATACTCTTGCTTGTTAATGTCCTGTCCGATAATTTTCCCTCTGTTATCAATGACTATGGCTGGCTGTCAAGCGACTCCTTCATGCGCCTCTCACCCCAGAACAATGAATCCACGAATTGGAGAATGGCATCGTCCGCCTGGTTCAATGGAATTTATTCTGGGACCTGTCACGCTTCGGATAATTCAGCAGCTACGTCAAACATCCATTAAGACTCATCGACAACTCGAGACAAAGGGTGGTCAAACTTATTTCTGGCCTCTTAAGACACAAGCAGCACATTGGCTCCTGGCCTCAGGTCGAACAAACCCACTGAAGAAAGAGCGAAGTCTGTTGACTTTTTTGTCTTTGACGTTCTGCTTCATTGGCTCTCGACGTTTCTCTCAGAGCTGCTATGAAGTCGCTATGAGCCCTCGGGAACGGCCTACTCGCCTCGTGAAACTCTCTGGAATCATATACTCAAGAAGTTTTGCATCTTCCACGGGGGGCATCCTCTCCCCCGCTTCTCCTACTATTTGCCTGGACGCCAAACAACATCCAAGTTAGAGACGATCTCCTGTCATCAGCTCAGTTCCCCATCAAGCCGTCCACGTCAATCCCACCCACCTACAGCCCTCCAAACTGGGTACTCTACACTATGGCATCCCATTCTAGCGATCAGACTTGTCCTTCAGAGGGTGTGGTGTCGAGCTCCGAGAGGAACATAGCTTGGTCTAATGGCAACTCCTCAAATCTGACGTCCCCCGCCCGGGAAGACTTGCCCCCTCTCGAGTACAGACCAGTCACGCCAGCGCACAAAGTCCCGCCCCCATTTGACGACATCTTGCCGCCTCAGCGCTTTCTCCCGAGACTATCCGGTTCTACGCCAAATATGTCGGAAAACGAGTCTTCCAGCGAACTTCTAGTCCTGGAGGCAGAAGGAGGGAGCGACGACGAAACCCCTGGCAAGAAATGCTGGTCTGACCCTTCCCGTCGTGCAATGCTAGCGGAGTTCGTGGTAAAGCGCTGTCCGGATACCTGGGCATGGGCCAGATATTTCCTGCGTCATAAAAACGTTGAAATCTAGAACCGTTTTATCCGCCTTAATCAAGAGCAGATCGAAACACGTTACCAACAGACCATTCCACAGGGGCGGGAAATAGAAGTAAATTGGTCAGGGGGCAGAGCAGCTTCTATGGAAGAACAGCCAGTCTCGCCCAAGAGCTGGGGGCCCGAGGATAAGCAGGGCATGGACAGTGTCGCACAAAATAAGGAAACAGAGGCCGAACAAGTTCTTGAACAAGTTCTCGCCGAGGAGAGCGAAATCGAAGGGGCCATGGAAGGGATCCGAAACCAACCGGCTGCGAATCACGGAGCCGCAAACCAGGAGACCCGATCCTGTGCAGATGGGACCCCAGGAGCCAGGCAGTCGGAAGAGGACCAGAATTCATGACTCTGAGGGCACCATCTCGGAACGATCAACAAAGTCCTCTTGCCATGGACGGGGGGGGTCCAAAAAATAAAGAGCAGAGCCCATCGCCTACGGGATGAACCTCTTCACACGATTCGCAGTGTTCTGATACATGTCCTGCAGTGGCTGCTCTCTCTCTCTCTCTCTCTCTCTCTCTCTCTCTCTCTCTCTCTTTTTTTCCCTTTTTTTTCTTTCTCTTTTTGTTATTCCTTTTCCGTTCCCAACAACGTACCTGCCTGGCGCATTATTTGCTGCGGCTGCGCGCGCCTGCCCTGGCCGACATCAACATCAACACCACTGTCACCAAAGCCCTGCGCCCTACATGATCTGGTTTTCTCCTCCCAAATGGGCAGTTGCTGAGCAATATCTTCTGTGTTTGGCCACACATTACACCCCTTCAACTCAAGCTGCTCTATCAGAAACCCTTCCGTCGGACTTTTTAACACCATACCTCTTGCATCACCACATCTTGCGTGCGATTCTCTTCGCTCGCAACCTGTTTGTTTCTTCAAACACAACATTGTCGCTTTTTATTACTTTTCGTATTCCTTCGCCGGTCATCGCTAAGCCGTCAGAATGCCTGTCACTCGCTTCAGGAATAATAAGGGACCATGGAAAGAACCCTTGGCCCCTGACTACCTGATTGATCTCCCGCGGAAGGGACATGCCTATATCAGTAAAAATGGCAGAAAGCTCTTTGATGACCGCTACGAGTGCAACCCTCCTCCCAAGGAAGAGAAGAAGAAACCACCTCCTAAGGTTGTGGCCGACAGACATGTTCTGGGCAACCCTAACCTGCAGGACGATTTGGTCGTAAGTTGCTTGTTTGAGCTGCCTATATATGATGGCATCTCGATGCCCGTCATTGCCACTGTTGTGGTTGAACAGCCAGCCCAGCGCCTAGTGGCGATAGTCTATTTCTTTCTTTCTTTTCTTTTTTTGTTTTCTCTTTTTGTTGTCCTGCTCTTTGAGTCGTATGAAGTTTCTAGTTGTCACTCTTGGTTGCGAGCATAGAATACGCTAACACAGCTGACCTAGGAGGATGGATTCCATGCGCGTCCATCGATCAAGCTGCCTGTCCCGGACCACATTAAAGGCATCCTTGTCGATGACTGGGAGAACATTACGAAGAATAACCAGCTCGTGCCGTTGCCTCATCCGCATCCTGTGGATAAGATCATCAATGACTACCTCGAGGAGGAGCGTCAAAACCGTGAGCCCAACTCGGCTCATCTTGACATTCTGGAAGAGACTATGGCTGGCTTGAAGGAGTATTTTGAGAAGGCTCTTAGCCGTATCCTTCTCTATCGGTATAGTGGCCCCCCTGCACTCTGCATTCTGTAGGTGCCTAATTATCCAAGACAACTATATTGACAGCAACTAGGTTCGAGCGGCCCCAGTATCATGAGATTCGCAAACTCTGGGATCAGGCAGGTGAAGATGGACCCAACAAGACGGTCTGCGATACGTATGGTGCTGAGCATTTAGCTCGTTTGCTCGGTAAGTTCTTTAGGCCATTAAAAAAAGAAAAAAGGAATCCCAGGGGAGCACAATGCAGACAGACTAACGCGCAAGGAAACTGCAGTCTCCCTCCCCGAGCTGGTTGCTCAGACCACCATGGACCAGCAATCGGTTGCTCGTCTCCGCGAAGAGCTCGTCAAGTTTACGACCTGGCTTGGGAAGAACACCAAGAATTACTTCGTCAGCGAGTACGAAACACCTTCCCAGAAGTATATCGACCATGCACGCAGCTTCTGAGCGAATCATTCACCACGCTGTTTTGAACGACATTGGCCGCAATCATGAAGCCCGTCAAGAAGGACGCCCCTTGGGGTGGGTTTTTTTTTTTTTTTTTTGCCGGGGGTTGAGCTGTGACTTGTGCTTTACATCCGGTGCACGTACAGGCGTTAGGGAAAAGGGGGCGTTTTCGTGAATTGGTTTTCTGTTGCCTTTCTTTCCTTCCTGTCTATTATCTAGCTCGGCCAATGCTCAACTGCCCAGCGTCCCTCCCTCGTCTCTTCACCAGCCTTGAACTGCGATGGGAGTCAACCAGGGTGAGAAGGGGTTTGGCTCTGGTAAGGCTTTTCAGGTTTGATGAACGCCAAGATGAGTGTTAGGCAAGCCATGGGCATGAGGTTATTGTTTCTGGCTCTCGTGACTGGCTTGAGGGCCTTGAGTCACATCATAGACTATCGGACAGATGAATATGAAGCACGGTCTTCCACCTAATCGACCATTTCCTATGCTCCCATCACGTTTATGGTTATCTCTCGATTTGGTTGTCTAGTATACGCCTATGTGTACAAATGTTTTTGAGTATAGTACACGGTCATTCAGCCAGTCTATCATCTGTTGACTTGGAAGGCGAGGATAAAGCTTTTGCCCCGTATCATCATGATTTGAGGCAATGACCAACGTCCTCCTCCTCCTCGTCTATCATCCGCCTGACACCCTCCACACACACACACACACTGAGTTCCACTCAATATACCTCGCATTTCATCCTCCTCTTCCTCTTCGCGATGTATGAAACCAAACTCCAAATTGCCCACACAAGAGAAACTCCGCAGAAAAGGTTCAACCAACCCGTCAATTGGCCCTCGCCTCGCCTTATTCACCGGGGAACAGGCTTCTCGACCCAGAAGCCCCTCTCAGGCCTCCTGGAAGCCTTGACCTCATCCTTGGTCAGCGCGCGGTCCACCTCCTCGACGCGCACAAGTTCCTTGACCTTCATGATCATGCCGGCGAAATCCGGGCTCACGGGGTGGAACACGGTCTGGGTGCGGCGGCGGAGGCCCAGGGCGGCGAGCACGCCGCGGGTGCGCTTGGGCAGCCCGATGGCGGAGCGGTGGAGGGTGATGCGGAAATAGGACATTGTGCGTGAAGGGAGGGTTTTTTGCTTTTTTGTTCTCGTGTTCCGTCTCGGTTGTTGTTTTCGCCTTTTTAGGACTACCCTATCGCGAAGGAGCAGTTGGGCGAGTGGTCGACCTGTGACGAACTACTGGCGCCTCTCTAGCCGTGAAAGACTCCCTGGTCGTGGGCCAGAGTAGGGAAAGAGGAAGTCTTCGGGGGAGGATAAGGATAGCGAGACGACTCGTATCGGATGGAAAGGACAGTCGCTGTCGTAGCGGTTGGAGGGTGGTCTTGGTGGATTTTCCTCGGTAGAGCAAGCCAAGTTCTGAATGGCCGTGCTGTGTTAGCGCTCATTGCCTTCCTCTGGCCTTCCGGACGGCCAAGAGGCATGTTTACTGACCTGTAAACCAATGCCTGCACGGTTGATAAACTAAGATATCCCTGCCTCGCTTCTCAGTGTTGCGTAGTCGGTGTTCTTCCAGGAGGCCGAATATCCGTACTACCAGTAGTCGCGACTTCTTCGTGGTATCGCCAAAAAATCCGACAGCGACCGTAGGTACCTAGGTACGGAGTATATGATGCCCGGATGCCGAATGTGGTCCGTGCACAGCTCCAGTGCGAAGGTACGTTCCTAACATAATCGGCCAGAAATCGACGACAGATGCAAAAGGTAACCGACAAAACATCACTCTGTCAAATGTCATGCTCCGTACACACTCTAATTACCTCATGGGCTAGACAAAATTCGTTGAAACCCATAATCATAATCAAACAACAACCCCGAATGCCTTTACACGTAGAGGCATCGTTCTATATTCATTCGTCACATTGATATACTATCACAATTTATCATGCGGGACAGACAAGACCCCGAAATAGAACCGAAATATCTAGCGTGTTAAAAAATGATAAGGATCTACCAGCATGCAACCATACGTTCATGCATATAGCTGGTCGTACAAAAAGCGCTTTCTAGTCCCAGCCTCAGTCGTTACAAGGTCAAGTACCCAATGCTCCATTGCTCTATTATCAGAACTACACCCCCGCGCACCGTTGGCTGTCCCATGGCCATCCTGCCACTGCCGCTTTACATCTGCACCTCGACTCTGCCTTCAGCACCCGGAGGGCCACCGCCGACCTGAGGCAGAATGTAAGTGATGTCATCCCAAGGATGACGGTAAAGGCCAGTGCGCAGCCGCTTCTGGTCGAGGTAGTGGGCAATAAGACCAATAGACCGGCCAAGCACGAACAGACCGTTGAGAACACCCATCTTGAGGTAGTCCTCGGCCTCCTCGGCTGAGAAGGCGCCGCAGTTGCGGAGGAGATCGACGAAGCAGACGGCAATGCAGCCGTCAACGTTTAGGATGAGGTTGTCCTTCTTGGAGGTGGTGACAGTCTCGACGGCCAGGGCGTAGTCGAGCAGCTTGGTGCTGGGGAACTTGGCCTTGACGTACTCCTTAACAAGCTCCACACGCAGGTCAGGGTTGTTGCGCGACTTGACACGGTGGCCAATGCCGGGGATGAGCTTGTTCTGCTTGCGCATGATATCGACAAACTCGCGAGGGCTGAGGCCCTTGTCGAACGCCTTGGTGAACTCCTCGGCAGCGCCGTCCAGAGCACCGCCGAAACGAGAACCAATGGTCAGGAGACCGGCAACGAGCGAGCTGATGAGGTCCTTGCCGGCACGAGTGGTGATGATGGTGTTCATGGCACCAGATACGGCAGGGCCGTGATCGGCTGTGAGCATGAGGACCATCTCGAGGAACTTGGAGGCATATTCGGGCAGGCGACGGCGGAACCACAGAAGCGACATGACACCACCGATGCCAATATCCTCCCGGAACACATCCGAGATGGGCATGCCGGCGTATAGGAGCTCCTGTCCACGGTCGTCGGAAATGGTAGAGATGAAGGCAGCTGGTTTGCGGATGAGGCCGAGCTCCTGGGCCCACGAGTAGTCGATGGGGATCTTGGGCACGACGGGCTCGGGCTGGGGCTTGATGGTGCCATCCTGGACGAGCTTGTCGTACACCACCTTGAGAACCTTGGGCATGTCCTCAAAGGTGTCAGGCACGTAGAAACCAGCCTCCTTCATTTTGTCGTTCTTGGTCTTGGCCGTCTCAAGCGTCGAGTTGGCGAAGGCACCAGCGTGACCGAATTGGACCTCGGTCTTGAACATGCTGGCGCAAGTACCAATGGCCCAGGCAACAATGGGCTTGGTAATGATGCCCTGCTTAACAGCCTCAATCACCTTGTACTCTTCGACACCACCAACCTCACCGAGCAGCACAAGAATCTTGCACTCGGGATCGGCCTGGTAGCGCAGCAGATGGTCGATGAAAGTAGTTCCGGGATAGCGGTCACCGCCGATGGCCACACCCTCATAAACACCGTCGGTGTTGTTGGCAATGATGTTGTTCAACTCGTTGGACATGCCACCGGACTTGGAGACGTAGCCGACGGAGCCCTTGCGGTAGAGCTTGGACGCCACAATGTTATCCATCATGCCACCAGTGTTACCAATCTTGAAGCAACCGGGCTTAATGCCACCAACGGTGGCAGGGCCAATGATGGTGACGCCCTTCTTCTTGGCCTTGTGGGCAATCTCACGAGCGCGCTTTTTTTTGGGTATAACATGTCGTTGTTAGCCCCTGTGTTCCAACGGACATGCATGGGATCAAAATTTAGGAGGGGACTCCCTCGAACAGAAGGGCACTACTCACGCGTTCAGGCACACCCTCAGCAATAATGGCAATGGTCTTGATCTGGGGATACTCCATGAGATCCATGGTGGACTGGTAGACACTTCGCGAGGAAGCAAAGTTGACGACAACGTCAACGTCGGGGTGCTTGGCCATGGCCTTGGGGACCTCCTGGTAAACGGGCAGAAGGGTCTCGCTGGTTCCCCAGTACATCTTGCTAACGAACTGGCCACCGAATGTGTAGATGATGCCGGCGACCGAAGGGGTCTTGCGCTTGCAGATGAAGTCGAAGTCGAGCATACCCTGGACGGCGCGGGGCTGCAGACCGTAGACGAAGCACCTCGTCTTATCGCTGAAGAGCGTGTGTGAGGGCAGCGGGCTCAGCGGCCGGCTAGGGGCGCCGAATCGCTGGATCTTGTCATTTGCAGACAGCCCGCTGGTTGTGGCGTTGGCGCCATTCACGGATGTAGACATCGTGATCGGTAGAACGGGTGAAGTTCGTTCGTGGGGTATCTGAAGATGGGAGAAGAAAAAATCTGGCCCGATAGTTGTTAGCAGGGCGAATCGGTAGATTGAGGCCCAGATGTTATCCCGAGCAACAAAACAAAATCGAATAGGATGGCCTCTGGAGGCTTGATGAAGAGTTGTGAAGATGCGAGGTGGGACAGCAACGAAGATGGGCAGGAAGGAAAGAAGAACGGAGAAGTTGAGAAAACAAGACAGTAAGAAGCCTAGGTGGTAGTGAATTGGCGGGCTGTGGAATTGGCTTTACGAAGATTGTTTGGCAGGCACGGTCACTAATAATTTTAGAGTACGTACATACTCCGTACTGTACTCGGGGGGAATGATCAGATTGGGGGGTGCGATTAAAATTCTGGTGGGGGCAGCGGCAGGGATCCTAAGGTGCAGGGATTCTCGGAAGTCGCTAAAAAAAAGGATGGGGAGGGACATCAGGGGGAAGGAAGGAAGGGGGGTTACGAGACCGAAGGAGGGGTAAGAAAGCAGAAGGGAAGGCAGAAGGCGCTCTCCAAGGGAAGCTAACGGACCTTAAAAGGTACGATGGCGGACCTTTGCGGAGGAAGGAAGCCCTGATGGTAGGATGACTGAGAGGGTAGGCTTACTTGAAGGCCAGAGAAGCAGGAGAGGAAGGCGTGGATCAGCACTAGTGAAGACTATCCAGCTATTAAAAGCAGTTGTTCTCGTACATAGGTTTTGACGGAGGTGTGTGAGAGGATCTGGAATGGGTAGGTTTAGTTTGGGCGAGAATTGAATCGACGAGGTGTGGTAGGTACACTGTAAGGTATTCGTACTTCGATGCTCCGTACGGTTCGTCCAATGCGGCAATTCGAGAGATGAGGTCGGTACGGAGTACGGAGTATGTACGATTATTTCGCACTCCTGGTAGCATCTACTCCGTATCTGTCCTCTGTACTCGGACCCGTGATCGGTCTACCCCAGGTACGGAACGCACTCGAAATGCGCTTTGTTGGCAGAGATGCGACCGACGGTGGTGACAGGGATTGACTGGGGTTGTCGACTTGGGAATTGGTGAATGGTGATGACGACAACGGTGCAACGGTCTTAAAAAGTTGGGGAAATGCCAATTGAGTTGGGAATGTGCCCTGATCGCGAGATGGTCCGAGGCCACGCACGACTTGTTGAATCCAAAGCAGAACAGACCAACAAGGAAGAACTTCGCTCGACCGAGACAAATCAACGAGACACAACTTTGGCCGAACCCCTGACTACTAAGGTAGTGTTACCATTGGCCGCTCAGGGAGTACGGAGTACAAGGAGAAAAAGGTAACGATACATCTCCGAGTACCCGCTTATTCAGGGTCCAACGCAATTTGTCGTCGTCGCTGGAAGGAAGAAGAAGAGAAAAGAGACCTAGGCCCTTGCCCGGGATATTCAATCGTCGACTTGCCCAAGTTCATCAAATCGAGGGGCATTGGACAAACGAACTACTCCGTACACAGTCCTCCGCCTAGTTCTCGTGTATTCGAAGAGCAGCAACGGTGGCATGGATATCAAAATAACAAAATCCCATTTAGGAGAAACCGAACAAAAAGAAACCCAAAAATAAAAGATGAGGAAGGCCACACAACCAGGCGCTGGACTATCGGATAGCCGTCGGCTCCGTGGTTGGTCGGTCATCCATAATTCGACATCCGCCGATGATCGGGAGACGCGATATCGCCAGGATGCCTGTTTGGTGGTGCATTGACTTCAACGACCGTGGTGTGCGGGAGGGTGGTGGGGGCAGCCATGCTTACAGAGTACGAGGCCGTTGTCCGCACATAATCGTGCAGCGTCCACCTTATTAACCCCTCCTACTATTGAGATGCTACCTCTTATTTGGAAGTGAGGGGCTCACCCATCAGCCGAAGGACGAGGGAATTCCCGCGCCTAGTCGGGCTTCCTGAAGATGAAAATAGGATGACGAGGCGCAAGGAGGCCGAAGATGAAAGGGGGTCGCACTGGCAACCAAGGGGGCAAAAACAATTTGGGGGCAGTCGTCTCCAGCCTCTACCCTCTGGTTTCTTCTCCCTCTATGTGGTGTGACTACACCAAAGACGGTCAATGTTCTCGACAGGAACGGATCCTCATACAAAAGTTTAGTAGGAGAGTGTCGCCCCGGGATAAGGCCCACCCACTTCCGTTCAAAAAAAAAAACCGTTGAGGGCCCAGTAATGAGATGTACCGGTACTTCCAGTGTTCGGGGCACATCCGGGTGGTCGTCCAGTGCGGTGTTATGTGTCTCGGGGTCTTGGCGTCACGGAAACAGCGTGATGAATCGGTATTGGTGGTCGTCGGTGTCGCCCCCAAAGCTTTTTCCGTTTGGCGTGGAAAAGGCGTGGTTCGTGCTAGGTACAAGTGTACTTGGCTCCATTCCAGCCACCACCCCTCTCCCTTGACCACTAGGCCATCTTGGGTGGGTACACTGCCACTTTTCTGCCGGCTGGATCCCCCCTCTGATCCTGCCCCGCTCCGGTCCCTGCCAACTGACTTTTGCTGATGGAGGTTCGCTGTCGCCTGTCCCGCCCCCCAGTAACTGTACTGAGGGACCCCCTGAGGTACAACGTACAGTAGCCACCCATCGCCAGAGAGGAAAGGACGACACTGACCGCCCTGGGAGCTTCCACACACCCCTCCCCCCCTTGCCTACAATTCGGTCCCTCCCCTCGACTGCCCTCCAATTTTTTGAAAGGCTGACGATCATCTTTCTTCCGCTCTCCTCCCCCTCCACCAACCCAGCTGTCGCTTTGACACATTTGCTCTTGTGTGGTCCCAGTTAACACCGCTGTTTCCAAAGTGCGACTTTCTCTCCTTTCTTCACCTCACCGCCTCGACTTTTTCATCTTCTTCTCTGTCTCTCCCACACAGAACACATCACCGCTCTTCCAGCTCCCAAGCGCTTGCCTGCTGGTCCATTTGTGTGATCCAGTGTCTGTAGGTAAGTTCGGACTTAGACCTCGACCTTAACACTCGAGCCGCCCTCCCCGTTCCGCTTCGCAATCACTTGCCATTGCGTTTAGCTTTTTTTTTCAATCCGGTCTCCTCGACCTGCGCTGCAGCTGTGACTTGAGCTGTTCGAGAGAAGACCAACGCAGCCAATTGACCAGGTCCAGCCGGGCTCAAAAACAATATAACAACTCCAGCTGCTGACCAGCTTCGATCGCAGCCCACAAAACGAAAGAATCCGAACGCACCTTTTGTTGCTTCGACTGAAGGAAACCGGTTCCTCCGTAACTTCCCTCACATTCGAACCGGCATAATGTCCGGCAAGTAGATCCTCCCTCCGTTGCTGGGTGCTTCGTCCCCGGTGCTTGGGTCGCTCTCATCGCCGCCTCGTCGATCTGCGGTGAGCAAGTGAAGAGTGCTGGAGCTAACCTGCGCGCACAGCCAAGAGCATTTACGAGGCCGACGGCAAGGCCATCCTCAACTACCACCTCACCCGGAGCCGCGTCTTCAGGCCCACCCCTCTCCCTCCTCCGACCAAGCACAACCCTCCCCCCAGACTAGCCGCTCTCAGGTTCCCCGAGGATGCCGATGTCAATGATGTCCTCGACCAGGCCGAGCTCACCTACCCTTGGCTTCTCCACCCCGGTGCCAAGTTCGTCGCGAAGCCCGACCAGCTGATCAAGAGGCGAGGCAAGAGCGGTCTCCTGGCCCTTAACAAGACCTGGGCTGAGGCCAAGGCTTGGGTTGCTGAGCGAGCCGGAAAGCCCCAGAAGGTCGAGCATGTTACCGGTGTTCTGCGCTCGTTCCTCGTCGAGCCTTTCGTCCCTCATCCTCAGGATACTGAGTACTACATCAACATCATGAGCGTCCGTGAGGTAAGTCGTCTCTCCTGTGACTTTTGTCTTTCATGCACGTCAGGGTTGGCCATGAGGTGAGCTGGGAGCATCGAGACGGGGCCCATGTTGCTTTCACTGCTGGACGCCGGTTTCGCGAGGGTACCCTTGGCGGTACTATTCCGTGCGGACGTGAGCAAGTCGGCTCCGTGGGCTCTTTGGGTCTGCAGATGGGGGGAAATGGAGAAGAGGTGAAAAAGAGGGAGGGTGTCGAGGAGCGGAATGCCGTGGTTCCTTAAATGACCGATATGCCCACGGGTTCCGTTGCTGAAAAGTGGGCTCAATGTTTTCGATTGCCCTATGCGGCAAACGTAAACCGGGCCCTACGGGCGAACGGAAGTCTTGAGCAATCGCGGCACCGCCCCCGACACGATGGCCCGGCCCTAGCATCGGACGCGCTCAAATGTCATCCCTCGGCTTGATAGTAACCCACCATGCTAACCACTGTTGAATGGTGCAGGGCGACTGGATCCTCTTCACACACGAAGGTGGTGTGGATGTTGGCGATGTCGATGCCAAGGCCGAGAAGCTGCTCATCCCCGTTGACCTCGAAGAGTACCCATCCAACGAGGTGATCGCCTCAACCCTGCTTAGCAAGGTGCCCAAGGGTCTGCACAACGTTCTCGTCGACTTCATCAGCCGCCTGTACGCCGTCTATGCGGAATGCAACTTCAGTGAGTGCCTCCCCCTTGCCTCGCAGGCATATTCATGACATATCAAAGGAGCTCGCTTGCTGACTGGCGAATAGCCTATCTGGAGATCAACCCGCTGGTTGTCATCCCCAACGAGGACGCGACTTCGGCGTCTGTTCACTTCCTTGATCTTGCTGCCAAGATCGATCAGACTGCCGACTTTGAGTGCGGTGTCAAGTGGGCCATTGCCCGGTCACCGGGTGCATTGGGCCTGACCAACATCGCCCCTAGCGGGGATGAGAAGGTCAACATCGATGCCGGCCCGCCCCTGGACTTCCCCGCCCCCTTTGGCCGTGAAATGACGAAGGAGGAGGCCTATATCGCTGACCTCGATGCCAAGACGGGTGCTTCGCTGAAGCTCACCGTCCTCAACGCTGAGGGCCGCATCTGGACGCTGGTCGCTGGTGGTGGTGCCTCAGTTGTGTACGCCGATGCCATCGCCTCGGCTGGTTTCGCCGACGAGCTCGCCAACTATGGCGAGTACTCGGGCGCCCCCACCGAATCGCAGACCTACCACTACGCCCGCACCGTGCTCGACCTCATGCTTCGCGCTCCCATGTCCGACAAGGGCAAGGTTCTCTTCGTTGGTGGCGGTATTGCCAACTTCACCAACGTTGCCAGCACTTTCAAGGGCGTCATCCGCGCCCTACGGGAGTACGCCGTCACGCTGAACGAGCACAACGTCCAGATCTGGGTCCGTCGTGCTGGTCCCAACTACCAGGAGGGTCTCAAGAACATGAAGGCCGCCACTCAGGAGCTTGGTCTGAACGCGAAGATCTTCGGCCCCGAGATGCACGTATCCGGCATTGTGCCCCTGGCTCTGGTCCCTGGCAGGTGGGAGGAGAGCGGAGCGCAAGAATTCCAGGGTTAAGGAAAAGTCGTTATAGTATGTAGTCTGGGTATCCGGTAGTAGATAGACCCTGCAGATCCTGCAGGCACGTGAGGTTGCCTTTGCCTGTCATTGGAATGGGACAGCAGAGTTGAGGGGTCTCCTTTGTTGGAGGAACTTGCACGCGCATCATCCCGCGAGGGGCTTGGGTCCAACGTATTTCCGGGCTGGATAGAAAGGCCTAGATGAACTTTTTTTGCTGCCATGTATAGGTGCGTGTGGTCTCGGAGGCATCGGGTTGAGGGTTAGACGGGCACATAGCGAACGCTTTGTAATGTGATATTCTCCATGTTCTTCCTAATGGATTTCTCCAGTCTCTGTGATGATATGAGGCTATGAAAATGAGTCCTTGTGTTTTTTGGTAGCCGAGCTGGTTATCCTGTTGCCGACGAAGTCTGGTTCTTCTAGACACCCACCCCCCTTGACGTCCTTCAGACAGATAGTCCCCCGACTTGTTGACAAGGTGTAGGTGGATATCCGCTCGGCACAGACTCGATGTCGTGGGAATCCTCTGAACATGTCGATTTCATGCACCCGCACTTCAAGCGGAAGATGCCCATATCCTTCATATCCTGAATTCGGGGGTAATGGTTGTCAGGGAGCAATTTAATAGATCTAGGACAGTGGAGAATTGAATCAGCTTTGATAACACACATTCATGTAAACTGAACCGACGCTTTCCCTAAAGGTGAGAGACTTGACTATCTAGACAATATTCATCAAGAGCAGAGTTGGGTGCGCTACCGCTACTCGAAATCTACGTTCCCGACGCCTCGGTGTAGAATAAAATAAGAAACGCCGAAAGAGATGAATAAGAGCGACTTCGTCCATACTGCTGCCCCGCGCAATTCTATCGGCGCTCTGTGCAGAGAAGAACACCACCCACGATGAAGAACCACTATGTTACAGACGCAGACTTGACATATCCGTCCAGTTCCTGAGCCGAAGCCAAAAAAAAAAAAAAGAATAAAAAAAAGAATAAAGGGGGCGTTACTGTAGTGTCACAAATCCCATCCTACCGGATCTCCAACCGAGCCTTTATCACTCTCGACTTTGATTGACTTGGACCTTCTCTCCTACTCCCTCCACACTTCCCGTTCTTTTCCTATCTCCCTTCAGAGGGCCGGGGCCCGGTGAAACGATCAGGCAAGCGGCGGAAGGCAGGCGACGGCTCCGCTCTGCCCAACCCGCCCAGGAGCCAGTCCGTCAAGCCGACGAACTTGGCGCCCATGCCCTTCTCCCAGTCGCCGCCGCCCTCGACGGTTTCGATGGTGTGGCTGAGGATACGCCCCTCGCGGTCGAACTGGAAGATGAAGAGGCCGGAAAAATGCTTCTCGTTACTCCTCTTCCCGCCGTTCTTATTCGTATTACCATTGTTGCTGCTGCTGTTGATGTTGGTATCGTTGCTGGTGCTGCTAGTAGTGGGGTCCGACGCAGCTGGAGCGAGGTGGTCGTGTGACCCGTGCCCCGGGCCGCCGCAGGTGCACCACCGGACGACGAGCTGGTCGGGGACGCTCCCCTGGCGTAGGGGAGCGCCGGGGACGGGTTCCCGCGTCATGCGAGCGGAGAGAATGGCGAGTTTTACGTTGCCGATGACGGGGACGCGGTTCCAGGCTATGGGGGACGTCCAGAGGGCGGCGGTGTAGGCTACGCGGCCCGAGACGGTGGGGAGGTGCGGGTGGGTGGAAGGGAAGAGGTGGAGGGAGATGTTCGGGGCGAGGATGTCTTGTTGTAATGGGGTTTGTAGGAGAGTCGGGAGTCGGTCTTGGAGGATGCGAAGGGCTGGACACGGATGGAGTGCCGTTGTTAGCTTTGTTTGGTTTTGGCATCGCGAAGAGGAAAGGGTGGGTAGGGGAAAGGGCCGTTAGGTAAAAGGAAAGGGAGAATCTCACTTCGACCTAAATTAGCCCTGTTGTCATCTGGCGGCTTGCCCCGCGATCCAGGGGTCGCGTTCTCATCTAGTGATTCATTTGAAAGGTTGGAGGGGTCGAAGTACCGCTGGGGTAGCCGATCCCTTTCACCTTGTCGTGCTTGTGGTAGAGTCGTCGACTGGGCTTGGGCGAGATGGCAACGTGACGAGGCGGTCGGTTCGGTGGTCGAAGGTATTGTAGTCCGTGATGGGGCCCTTGCAGCAGCAGCCTCCGTGGCATTCGCAGATACGCCCTGCCGTACTCGAGTGGGAGCTGCACCTTCATCTTCCGGTTGAGGCTCAGCCATTGCAGAGCTGGAGGAGCTTGAAGACTGGAAGAGCCGGAACGGTAGCACGCTGTGCGGTGCTGCTGTCGGACCGGTCCGGCAAGAGGCGAAGAGGGAACATGGCTTCGGTCTCGCAGGAATACAAATACGCATGGCGGCGATGCTCGTAGCGAGTTGCGATGTCATGACGGTGACAGCATTGGAAAGAATGTTGAAAGGGCGGGTGGCCTTTGGGCTTGTGTATCGCCTTTTAGGTAGGTACTGAGTGTGGATGTTTCGCGTTCGAGCTTGACTCTTATGTACGGATACGCACGAAGTAGGTAATTACGAAGTACGGATACGAAGTACTCCGTACAGAAAAGCACAGAAGCATTCCGTTCGTCGGAACGGGGATGATGTCAGATGCTCGGGCTCCTCGTCTCGGCCCCACGTGTTTCCTTTAAAGTACCGAAGTATCAGATCGAAGTACCCATGGGTACGTACTGTCGATCGTACCGACCGGCCCCGTCTCGTCGCGTCCTCGTCCTCGTTCTCGTTCACTTCTCTCCTCGGCCTAGCAACGGAATCCAACCTCAGTTTTGTGCCTCATATACTTTGTTTGTATTCTGTCTATTGTTCCTTGCTTATAGTACGAGATTACTACCTATACACATCATAAACCTGCTTCCTAAGCATAATCATAGCTACCTCGGATGCGGAAATTCGTCCTCCAACTGCAACCTGACGCCCACGTTCATACTGATCAGCTCCTGGACCAACAACTTGGCAGCATAAGGCATGGTCATCTGCGTCACATCCTTCGTGCTTCGGCAGGTGTGGCAGTACCCCTTGTACCCGAAGAGACCGCATTGCTGGCATATATCAATCGACGTGCCGTCGGAGCTGATCATCAGCCGCTCCAGAAGGAGCTGCGACGCACCGTACGCGATCAGACAATCGCGCTCCATCTCTCCCAACCGCAAACCACCGTCGCGCGATCGTCCTTCCGTGGGCTGCCTGGTCAGAATGGCCCGCGGACCGCGCGCCCGCGAATGCATCTTGTCCTGCACCATGTGCTTGAGCCGCTGATAGTAGATGGGCCCGTTGAAGATGTACGCCTCGCAAGGCTCGCCCGTAATCCCGGACGTGAAGTAGTCCTTGCCCTCCCACGAGAACCCGTGGTCCACCAGCACCTTGCTCATCTCCTCCACCGGGTGCGACCGGAACGCGTCGCCGAAGCCGTAGTCTTTCCGTCCGTCCAGCACGGACGCCTTGCCCGTCAGGCACTCGAGCAGCTTGCCGACCGTCATGCGCGACGGGAAACCATGCGGATTCATGATAATGTCCGGCACCAGCCCGCTGTCGGCAAATGGCAGGTCCTCTTGATCCACGATGATGCCCACGACACCCTTCTGCCCGTGACGGGACGAGAACTTGTCGCCCAGTTCGGGTCGCCTTGTCTGTCGCGTTTGCACCTTGACCACCATGTTCTCCTTCTCGCTCTCTGAGATCATCACCTTGTCGATGTACGCAGGGTCGGCAATCCGGTATGATATCGACGAATCGCGGAACCCGCTCGGGCCCATGTCGTTTCCGATGTTGGTCGAGCCGGTATCCAGTGGCGTCTGCTTGTTGACCATGACCTCGCCAGAGCGGATCTGATACCCAACCATGGCAAGGCCGTCGTTGTCCAGAGCTTGGTGCTTAACCGCCCTCTTCCGCTCTTTGGGGTCGCCCTCGTACCCCGGGTCGCCGATGACTTCACGCCGCCCGTTGGGATATTTCTGCATCTCCGTCGCGTACTTGCGGAACACCTGACAGCGCCCGAACCCGCGGTCGCACGAAGCCTTGTTCAGAACCAAGGCGTCCTCGATATCATAGCCCGAATAGGACATGACGATAACGGTCGCATTCTGTCCTGCCGGCAGTTTGTCGTAGTGTACGAGCTGAATCGTTTTGGATATGACCATGGGTCGCTGCGGGTAGACCAGCGTGTACAGAAGCGTGTCGATACGGTTGAATTGGTTATAAGCGATGGCCCCTATCGCTTGCTTGCCCATAGCACACTGGTACGTGTTGCGGGGAGATTGGTTGTGGTGGGGGAAGGGGATGAGGCCGGCCACAGCACCAAGAATAGTAAACGGTTCAATTTCCAGATGTGTGGTGCTCCGGTTGACATCCTTCTCGTAGAGCGCGATCAACGTATCGTTCTCCTCGTTGACGTCGAGGTACTCTACCACGCCGTTCCTGAGGAAATCGTCGAAAGTGACCTTCCCGAGTTGCAGGAGGCGCAGCTGCTCCGCGTTAATCATTGGGGTTCCATTTTTTACAATGAGGTAAGGTCGGCAAATGCGTCCTTCGTCGGTGGCGATGTGCACCGCGCTGAAGTGATTGTTGATGTTGATGCTGACAAAAGGAGATATGTAGCCCCGCCGTCTCATGGTCCTGAATCTGGACGTGAGTCGCTTCGGGTTACGAGTCAAGGCAAAGGGAGTGCCATTGATATAGATGACGAAGGATCCCTCGCGATGCATCTCGCTCCCCGAGAAGTTCCTGACCGGTTCGATATCATTATCGAGCGTGAATACCCAGTGTTTGACCGGTTCTTCCTCGACATTGGTGGTAATATGTGTCATCAGCGCCAAATTCTTAACCAGACCGCATGCCTCGCCTTCGGGCGTGTCTGACGGACATAACATGCCCCACTGCGACGGTTGGAGAGCTCTGGGTCCACTGACTTTGCGTGTCTTCTCGAACTGGCTGTTGATACGGGTCATCATGCCCAAGGCGCTGATGTAGCTGAGACGACTAAGGACGTGGGTGACACCGGCCTTGCTCATATTAAACCGCTTTACCGTCCAATTTCCTGTCTGGATGGCCCTGTTAATTCCCTGGCCGATATTGTTGGCGTGGTTACTGATCATGGTGACCGCATCCAGAGGTACGGCGCGGTTGACCTTCTTGAGAACTTTGTCGATACTGGCCTTAACATCGACGCAAAACTTCTTGAAAAGATCTTCGAACAACAGGGAAAGCAGCTGGCCCGCGAGTTCGAGTCGCTTATTGCCGACAAAGTCTCGATCATCAACGAGGCTGGGGTCGGTCTGGGCCATGAGGACGCGGCGCGTCATGAAGGCGACGTAAATAGCCTTTGGATAGAAATCGAGCCCTTCGACGGGAATATGGGCGATGATGAGATTCGACAGGGCGTCGAGGCCTTCTTCGATATGGTTCTTGCGGGCCTGGGCATTAGGTTGGAATCTGTTCCTGCCGCCCATCTTGACACGCGCGCCGATCCACTCCAACGCTTGATGCTGGGTAAAGACACCATGCCGACTAGCCTCGTCAAAGTTGATGATGAAATCGTCCTGGTATCTGCCGTCGTCACCCGCGACCAGTTGCATGATTTCCATGTCGGACAAGCCCCCCAGCGCCTTCAGGACGATAACGATCGGGGCAGGCTCCACCAAGACGTTGTGGGAGAGCACGATCTTGTCTTTCTTGAGAATGATGTTCGTCTTGGTTTTGCGCTCGTGGGTAGAACTCGTCACCGAAGCCGTGATGATGTTGTTCTTCGTATCTGCTTCGACGATGACACGATTCTTGCTGAGTTGCTCCTGGATGAGAATGACTTTTTCGGTGCCGTTCACGATGAAGTAGCCGCCGGGGTCAAGAGGGCATTCGTTCATCATCTCCATTTGGGCGTTGGTGGCGCCGTTGAGGCGGCACTTGGAAGACTTGAGCATGACGGGAAGGCGGCCAAGAGGCACATTACGTCGGACAATTTTGGACTTGTCGCGAATATAGGCGATGTCAATGAAGATTGGGGCTGCATATGTCATGTCTCGCAGGCGACACTCCATCGGAGTCACCTCATTATGTGCTCTAGCATCATTGTAATCTAGTCGACTCGGGGTTCCCACCCGAATGTCCGTGAACCTTGAGATTATCTGTCAGTATACGCTATTCTGCCCACAACACGCCTCTGGTCGGTATATTGGATGATAACTCACTCAAGCCAGAAGCTGCTGTTAACATCACTCCTGATTGTGCGGTTTGCACGCACAATATTCTTAATTTCGTGCTCAACAAAGAAATTGTAGGAGTCAATGTGTTGCTTAACAAGACCCTTTACTTTGAGGAAGGCTGGTAGGAGCTGGAATTTGTCTTTGGCTGTCGATATGGGGTCTGTGAGTTTCTTGCCATCATAGAAAGGCTCCAGGAGGGCCTCAAAGCCGTCGTCGATGTACGGCATCTTTCAGGTCACAATGCCAGAAATAGCATCATCAAGCTCTTTGGCAGGGAATCGCCGTTATAGTAGAGTCTTATGATGGTCGATGATGTGAGATGTGATGGCCAAGCAACTGTGAAGTCTCAGACAAGGCTGAGGCTGATGAAGTGAGCTAGAAAAACTTCAACGTCGTTTCGTCCCTGCCTGGTATGACACGACGCGCTGCACGCACGAAGTACTCTCTGTACGGAGTAGTACGGGAAGTATGCAGGTGCTAATAATTTGCAGTTGCCCCTCCGTCTCATGGTGGGGGACGAGGGGCAAATCGGATTAATAATCATCCAACGGAAAATAAAGGAGGAAAAGCGCACGTGACTCGGCAACTATATAACGACTGCGAATAGGGACAGTTCACAGTATCCGTATTCCTCCGTCTTGACCCATCCCACACGACTCGGCGCTCTTGCCCGTCTTGAAAGTAATCAATACATAAGCGAATCCAACTCGGTTGTTTTGCTACCGAGACCCCATGGATGATCGCTGCGAACAAGTCACGAACTAGAATCAACAACACAACACAGAGTGGGCGTTCTACGTGTAACTGGTCACTATTGGGTCTCTGGGTTGAAATCCCTCCTGATGAAGGGCTAAGGCTCACAATGTAAAGAAAGGGAGTGCAGGGAACCATAACTTCTTCGAATGTCCTCGATATTAGCGCTACACGCCGGAGGCCCACTCAGTGCGGGACATGAAAAGTCGGTGAAGGTCAGAAAATCTGGGTTCGAACTTCTGAGTCACCACAGGTCGGAAGGATAGGGGGATGCCTTCGCTAATGGAGTAAGGAGATCACTGGGTTGGTGATGTTCGTTTGTTTCAACTATTGAGGAAAGGTCAGTTATCATTTTGTCCGAAATACTCGAGTCGGACTGATGTGACTACCGTCGCTAGTTACTTTGCGAAGCCCATCCCAACAATTATGGCAGAGCTGTGAGCCATGGAATGTGCTTAAGTACGTTGTAGTGAGTCCCTGATATTCTCACGGGGCATACAGCCCCTGGCAAAAAGTATTTGAACACGCCTATGTACCATCGACCCACAAAATATCAGGCTGAGGGCATATAGGCTTACTATCTAGCCTCAAATACTTAGGAGTGTTCAAATACTTATTGCCTCCCACTGTACCTCTCGCGTATGCGTATCGACTACCTAGGTACTTAGGTACTCCATACTTGATTACTTTATTACTTCGACGGACGAGAGCGCATGCATGGATATGTGGAAGCGATGTCTACATGAGGTATCTTGGGAACACAGGCGGCATGTTACCAAACCTCTTACCGACCACCAAAAAGTCTATTTTTGCTGTGAGCGCGACTCATTCATTCCTCAACATTCATCCATCACAACCGTCGCCGGGGAGGCATCCTTCGGATATCTTTGGATAGGAGCTTGTTTCTCCCTGGGCGGAGACTAACAGTGAGCTTGCTTAGAAAGGTCTAGGACGTACCTATAGCTGCACCCTGTAGTGCCGTTTCATTTTAGCGTGGGAGAAGTTGACGTGCAGCGCCCTCGATGCTGTCCATTCACCCCACTTGTTTTGGCGAGGTATTCGCTGGACATGACCAGGGAGACGACAACAACGACGACCGATTTATTGGTGTCCCAAGCCCAAAACCAGCCTTGATTTCTTTCAATGACTGTCTGCAATGGGCAATTGGACGGCTCCTGCTGGTTCAGGCAGAGCCGGGAGAAAGACGAGGAAGACTGCGTGGGGGTGACGGGCGACTGGGAGCAAAAGGCGAAAAAGTCTCCGCCTCTTTCACCTGCTCACAGTAACGAAGCTCGTCTGCCCCGCGTCTCGTGAAATCACGTCCTCCCTACCTCATGCCGACCCGGTTCACTGAGTGACCAATTCCCAAACCTCCCGTCATGCGGGTTGAAAGTTCACTGAATACAGTCTAGTGGAGGTTGCTCGCGGCACAGCGATAATCAATTCGCGGATGGCGCACTTCTGCACACCTGCCTAGCTTAGCGTTCTGCCATAGCCCAACTGGGTAGGAAGGCGGGAAGATAGATCCCGATAAACTTGACGGTGGTGGCGGTATTATTACCTCTTTATTAACCCCCTGGCGGTTTCGAACCCATCGATATTCTGTTAGATTCCAGTTCGCAGGTGGGCGATGCACGGCGGATATCGGCAGTCTTGTCGCTCGAGGTTGCAGCACGCAGGCTGCAATCCCCATTCCCGAGGAAAGTGCACGGCATAGCCCCAAGTCCCAAGTCCCAGGGATGAGTTTTGTCCACATATATATGTTGTTGCTGTTGGTGCCGCCACGAGAACTTCGAGGGAATCATTTTGTGGTAGGTAGACTAGGCTAATCGTATGCGTCGACCCATGCTGTACTGTTCCACGGAGGGCAGTATCCCGCTTCTTCCGTGGTCGTCTCCATTACTCAATACTACCCTTCCCCGCGGCAATTGGGGGGGGGGGGGGTTTCTTCCTCTTTTTGCTTCGTGGGACAGTAACGAAGGAAGAGGGGTTATTTTTACGGTTGTAAGTGGCTCCTCATGTCATGGCGAAAAGAAACCGCGCATTTGGGGGTCGATGGGGCCCACGCATTGACTGGCAAGAGGAGGCTCTTGGCGTTCGCTTTAAGGCCACACCAACTGGCCACCCTTTGCGAAGGATAAGCGCTCTTGTGCGAGGGGGATTTGCGGCAGCCGCGGCCTGCGAAGCATCCTGAATATCTCACATACTTGCGAAGTACATACACTACACTACCTTAGTAGGAAGTACGGACACGGCCGGATACCACTTACGTTTTCCAGTCGCTGGTCCCGCGCGTAGGGACATATATCGAGAAGCCCCAACATGGTGCGGTTATCCAACTCTTGATACCCCGGCCCAGAATGCTCCTCCTCTCCTTTGGTGAATCCCTCTTTGGTGGGCGAGATCGAATGCTAAGGCATGGCCGTGTGAGTGTTGCCAGACTAAGAAAAGGGTCACCGTCTTCTGGCCAGGCTACATTCCTGATTAAGGTATTCAATCCTGAATGAAGAACGCCGTGGGATCGGAGGAGGCGCCGTACTTGGACAAGGAGGCACGAAGAATACAAGTACCTTACTCCGTAATGTGCAGGTACCTGAACGTACGAAGTACTTCGTACTTTCGTGCGTACAACGTACAGTGTCGCCTTCAGGCAAATCTGGCCGGAAAATAAGGCGACCCGGAAAATATACGCTAGCGAGTTGGATACAGAGGGGCAGGCATTCCACGCTAGAAGCCCAAAGCCAAAGCCGCCAGGGGACCAGAGCGCGGGCCAGGGGCTCCTTCGGTGGAGTCCAGAGGAGTCCAACAGTGAAGGGGATGGCTGGCGCTGGATGTGGTCTCCCTCCACCTCCCTTTCCCACCCCTTTTTGAATGCTCCGAATGCTGATTGATTCTCGGTCTCGTCTCCGATTTCTTTCTCTTGTTCTATATAGGTACTTGAGCCTCCTATCCCAGAATATGGTGATTACAAACTTCACAAAATGAGACGGGAGAAAAGAGATAGCGTCGACTAAAAGAGCATCGAGTCGTTTTTACGGATACCTCCTCCGTGTCCGTACTTTGCTGGTCTGTTCTGGAGGGCAAAATATAATATGGGGCCTCCTCCACTTGCGACATCACGTTGAATCAGACTGCAGATTATGCGCCTCCCCTGAAAAGATACTTAGCACGGAGTGCTGTGCTTCGTATTTCCCTACCTACCTTACTTTAAGGGAAGAACTCGACCTGGCCAGCGTTGAGGGAGGAGTTCTCCTCACTCTCCCAAGAACCCATCCCATCCCGCCCCCTCCACTAACTTCCAAGTTGGCACTAATACGGACTGATACAATATCCCACGGTTTATTGCTCAAGTTCCATGTGAACAAATCGCGTATCCGGGTGTACGGAGTAGGTACCTTTGTATTCGCAGTACGTAGGTACCTTACCTAGGGTACTTCGTACGTTGTAATGGGCGCTACCTTGGGCACAGCGCTGTGTACCCTTGACTCCAGGCTCGTTTCCCCACGTCTCAATGTCCACATCTTAAACCCACGTCGCCTATTGTCTGTGCTCGCCATTTCTGATCTGTCCCCCTGTCTTGCCCCCATCCATGTTTCTTTCGTTCTCGTCGCCTCGTGCGTCGTGCCTCGTCTTTGTATTCTTTCTTTCTCTTTTCTCTCTTCACCCGCCTCCGGCTGCTATTTTCTATCAGCCTGTCGCTCCTGGCCCCAGGGCGCGATGTGTGAGAATAGCTTCAGCGTCTTCGGCAACTGAATTGCTTTCGATTTCCTGGCCCTGTGTACGAGCGCCACCTCTTGAATCAGAGGTGTGCAGAGACGTAAGTTGCTGATCGCCCAAGCTCTCTGTCTTTGCCTCATTTCCTCTCTCCCTGTCTTGTATGTTGCACGTTGTCCCTGGACCTTGTGCTGTCCACACAACGCACGCGAAAAATACGCACCCCCTATTTCCCATCCCAGGACACTTGGCCCCTTTTTCTTTCTCTTCCCTGTCCTCTCCCTGTCCCGTCCAATGTGCATCCCGCTGGACTGGCAGCTACGTTGTAGCTTACTAGCTGGTTGGCTGGCTACCCAGTCGGTCAACCAGCTCGGTGGCCAGTCGCAGGGGTTGCGCATGAAGACTCGCAGGAACAAAGTGCTGGCGTTGCTATCGGCGCTGGCATGGGCTATGGACGTGGGCACGGGCACGGGCATGGACTGTGAGTAGGGCTTGCGGATGCTCTCGAGAAGGGAAGTAGGGTTCGCGGGAGGACACAACACCTAAAATCGAAAGACTCGACCGCTTCGACCGCACTCGCGACCACTCGCCAACCACCAGAGAAGAAAACAAAAAGGGGAGAGAAAAAAACGAAAACGAAACCGTCGCTTTGTGCGCTGCGCTGTCTCTCGTCGGTCTTCGTCATCTCCTCAGACTGCGTCGTCAGCGTCACCGCCCACATCAGCCCCAGAAAATCTCCAGCCCCGCCACTGGCATCTCGGCTTGTCCTGTCCACCCTCGCCTTCGGCCTCGGGCTCATCCCGTGCTCAATCTTTCCCCATCTTCTAAACCATCGCCTTGCTTTTTGTGTTACCATCCGCTCGTCAACGTCCTCGGCCTCGTCCGGTCCGTTGATGACATCGTTGAGAGGACCTTGCGCTGACCGTCTTTTTACCGATGCCAGCAACGCGATAGACGAACCCAACCCTGCCGATTGCGGCGTGTACTAGTTGTGTAGTAGAAGAAAAAATGGACGAGAGGCTCTTCATGTCCCAGCATTCGCCTCGGAACGAGTCGTCGCCCTCGATGAATAACCTTGTCTCACCTCCACGAAACGGCAGTCGCCTGCCGCAGCCGAATGCCCCGACTCACGAGCTTAGATCTTCTCTGCCCCGTCGCTTCACCACCGACTCGGGACGTGTACCAACACTGTCATCTATAATCTCTCAGCGCGGCCCTCTTCCTGGGCCTGACCCCAACGTATGCTCTAGTTACCTTCTGCGTGTGAATGGTGACATTGGAACGTGGCTAACCTCCAAGTATTACAGAACTACCACAAAGTCCAACTGGTATGTGGGCCTTTCTCTGGTATATCTCTTTTTTTTCGACTGCGATCTCCAGGCAGCACGGGCAATGGAGACTATACGCCCTAATGCATTCTGAGCCGCGGACCGAGACAGAAGGAGGAAAGCAAGTGCTGATGCCGTGCAGTTAGAGAAGAAAAAGCAAGAATATGAACGCCTTCGAGAGCAAAGGAGGCGCTTCGAGCTGGAAATGCAGAAGCTGGAACAAGCCCAACGCCGGGAGGAGCTCGAATTGGCCAAGATGCAGGACGACCTGACCCGACAGGGGCACCAATCCGAACCCACCACACCCCCCGAATATCATGACAGTTCTGGCTTTCCCTCGATGTTTTCGCGACCGAACCGCTACTCGATGTCTAGCCTTATATCCCCGCCAGGACTGTTTAATCGGCCCGCTCGATCCGGTTCACTACTCACCTCGCCTCCATCCAACATTTTGTCCTCTCGGATGCCCTTTGAGGATCACCTCCCTTCCCGCTCAGTACCGATCACGCGGAGGAACAGTGACGATGAGGAGAAAGAAGAAGCTGTTCGCCAGGATCCGAGCAGCCATCGATCTTCCAATGCGTGAGTAAATTCCTTCTTTTTTTTCTCGCCCCCTTGAATAAAGTACGGTGTTGCTGGGAACCGGTCCTTCCTTGCTTGGTGGGGCTTGGTTCTTTGAGTGACACCAGACTTAATCAGTTGCCTTCAGAGAGAAGGAGAGTGGGATGAAGAAGGTTGGCTTCGATGGCTCCAATCCCCGGCGTCTAAGTTTGGGCGTGCGTCACAACACTCTGGGTAGACCTGGAAATACCACGCTTGCAGTTGTCGTTCCTCTTGTCTAGAGTTCTAGGCGAGAATGACACACTCCGTGGCTCCAGCCCAAAAGTGGCGTAGGAATATCGGTTTGCGCAAACTCAGCCTGGCGCACTTTCACCCTCGCCTAATTTCTCTATTCGTCCCCTGCCCACCGATTGGAGCTCCGGTTTCTATTCTCCTTGAATCTTCCTTGTCCATACACACACAGACACACAGACACACTTATCCATACCTGTTTCTTGTATCCTTCGACATCTCCAGCTATACTTATCAAAGCGCCCATTCCTGCAACCGCCCGACGAACTTCCACTTGACAGACATCATATTCAAAAAACAATCAGAATGCTGACTCTGGCCGAAATAGCTACAACCGCTACTCGATGCCTGTAACCCGATCTCGCAATGGTCTCTACGGCGCCGATCTTGACCAAACAGGTACTGCGCGTTTCTTGTTCGGCGAGGAGGACTCTGGTGATGCCCGCTACGGTCAAGTCTTCAGAGACGAAAGTTTCCCTACCCTAGTCCGACGCGAAGACCAAATGGTACGTACCTTCTTTTTTTCCCTTCTCCTTTTTCTCAGCCCCTTTATGACTTTGCCCACCCATCCGTGGTTCCCAAGATCCCTTCGTGGTTTTGGGCAGGTGCGTTCTTGCCCGTGGGTATGAAACTTCCTGTCCCTTCCTGCCCTGACTTGCCTGGCCCGGTTCGGTCATTGGGCAAGTACGACAGGCAAGTGTTGTTGCCCTGGGAGAAGAAGTCTGGGAAAGGTACCTTAGTGGGTGTGCCCGCTACCTTACCTACCCAACTCACATCTCAATATTCACCATCGCAATCCTGACTATTGTTGTTCTTATTCATCTCTTTCTCTTTTCCCTCCGTCTTCCTCTCTGCTCTTTTCCCCCCGGTGTCTCTTGTTCTCGTCCTTATTAAACATCTTTCAAAATCCCTTCATCCTCCTATCTGTGCCATTCTTGAGAAAAAAAATCTTAGAAAAATTACCTGGCACTCTCGCATCACCTTTTTTCTTCTTCTTTGCCTTAAAGCTCTCAAATCTCGCCCACGTCGAGATCAAGATTTGCGAGTCCGTTGGTATTGACGTTGTGGGCATTTTGCACAGCTTTCTGCGTCATCCGCTGCTCTTGACCTTGCATTGTCTCCGTCTCCTTCTCCCGAGGTGTCATCTTCCACCAAAGGTTGGGGCAATATTAACCGTCACCGCGCACGACAGTCTCTTTCGACCATCAATACCTCGCAACTCAACGGTCCAACATCTGCGGCGGAAGGGACACGTTCTTCGACTATCCGCCACTCCCTCGACCTGCAGTACTTCTCCGAGAATTCTTCTGACCCCCCTTCGGTCGTCTCTCCCCCGGGCAATCCCATCATGGCCTCTGCTCCGAGCCTGCAGAGCTCCTTCTCTGGCAATGATGTCCAGACTGTTAGGAACGGCTCAGGCGCCAATAACCATGCCCAGCAGCACTTCCATAACCACAATGCCAGCATGGGTCGAATTCCCGCTGGCGCCGTTCCTACCCGCCATACCCGCGAACTGTCCAACGATAGCACCGCAGCTGCTCGCGACCAGGCCGGCGCCTATCACTCTCTCCAGGGTGCTCTCCAAGGTGGCGCCGCTCCTTTCGGACCCGCGGGCAATGGCATCGCCACTACCCATACCTCTCCTGGCGGTGGTTCGACGACTACGGCCTCTGGTTCAGGTGGGGCCAACTCGTCTTACGGATTCTATCCGGGCGGACCCAATTACTCGTCGCCTACTTCGTCTGCCCCTCCCGTCACTGGTACTGGTACATTTGGCGTGCCTTTCATTGCTACGGGCATGCAAGGCCTGAACCTTAACGGAGGCACCATGTACCCTCCCCAGAACTACACTGGATATGGCGGCAATCATTACCCCACGCACTCACCCCGCGATAGCCAGCACCGCGTGATTCAGAATCGTCGCCAGATTGACAGTGAAGGTTTGTTTTGCTGCCTCCTGATGGGCCGGCAAAGCCGACCCCCTCCCCCTCTTTTATACAAATAAGCGGACGCTAACCGAATTCTCTCATAGCCATGCTCCGATACCAGAATCTTCCCCTCGAACACGTCGGAGGTCAAATTTACGAGCTATGCAAGGACCAGCACGGATGCCGCTATCTGCAGAAAAAGCTCGAAGAGCGCAACCCAGACCACGTCCACATGATCTGGCTGGAGACCAATCAGCACGTCATTGAGCTTATGACAGACCCCTTTGGCAACTACCTCTGTCAGAAACTCTTGGAGTACTGCAATGACGAGGAGCGCACGGTTCTTGTCCAGAACGCATCGCATGACATGGTCCGCATTGCTCTGAACCAACACGGCACCCGTGCACTCCAGAAGATGATTGAGTTTGTTACCCTGCCCGTGCAGGTCCAGACCATCATCGAGGCCCTCCGTAACCGTGTTGTCGAGCTCATTCAGGACCTCAACGGCAACCACGTGATTCAGAAATGTCTGAACAAGTTGAGTGCTATTGATGCTCAGTTCATCTTTGACGCTGTTGGCAACAACTGCGTCGACGTGGGCACTCATCGCCATGGCTGCTGCGTGCTCCAGCGCTGCATTGACCATGCTGATGGTCAACAGAAGGTTTGGCTTATTGGGAAGATCACGGAACACGCGCCTATCCTCGTGCAGGATCCGTATGGCAACTATGTGGTCCAGTACATCATCGACCTCAATGAGTCGGCGTTCACTGAGCCTGTTGTGGCCATGTTCCGCAATCGTATCAGTCAGCTGTCTCGCCACAAGTTCAGCTCGAATGTGATTGAGAAGTGCTTGCGCTGCTCGCAAGATGTCTCGCGTGACATGATTGTCGATGAGCTCCTCAATCCCGGCGAGCTCGACCGCGTCTTGCGAGACTCGTTCGCCAACTACGTGGTCCAGACTGCTCTCGACTGCGCGACGCCCGCGGGTAAAGCCCGTCTCGTGGAAGGAATTCGTCCTTTCCTGCCATCGATCCGATCGACTCCCTATGGCCGCCGCATTCAAGCTAAGATTCAGGCTTATGACAATCGCGGAACTGCAGCCATGGCTGGTCAGTCGACTCCGGCCGACAACACGCAAGGCCAGGTCCCTCTGCGTCCCGGGCACAACCGCGGTATGGTTAACAACACCTCGATTGTCACTCCGGGCGGGCCCCTGCCCAACGGCGGTGGCATGGCCCAGCAACCGTCGTATCCGCTTGCTAGCAACCTTACGGTGCCCCCTCCGGTTCTTCCTCCACCTCAGGTTCAGAACCAGCGACTTCCCCAGTTGAGCTGGAACGGCCAGCAACAGCAGGAAGCATCACAGATGCAAGGTCAAGCCTTTGGTCAGGACCAGAATCGGGACCAAGCCAAGACCCAGCCCGAGTCGCAGCCGTCGCAGTTCCAGCCTGAGCCTGGCCAGTCTCAGCAGCAACAGCAAATGCAACTGCCCACCAACGGAGCATCCCGAAGCCCTCCTGGTGCTGGCAATGGTGACGGGCCCCGGTGGCTGTAAAATACTCTCCTAAACCAATCGGCACCAGCCGATAAACCACCTGCCCTCACCCAATCTTACATCAAGATATCACCCACCTCTTCTCGCTGATGGTACGATATGCGGCATGGCTCTGAAAGACCAAGGGGTTCTAGACAAGAAGGCATGAGCTTAATGGTCTTGGCCTCTCTCTTCATTCAACACGGTGACGACACTGCCACGACTTGATGACATTTTCTTTCTTACTGTGGGTTGCAGGTATGATTGTCGACGACATCATTCCATACCCAGATCATTTCCCCATCGATACTGCAGTTTTTTCGGACGGCGAAAAACGAAAAAAGACAAAAAAAAAGGCGAGAGAAGCCGCTTTGTTGTACACTACATACAGCGCTACAGATCACGATCATGGAAGATGACAAGCATGTGCAAGGATTGCTTCGGAGATTGAGCGATGATGCAGGTTCTCGGAGAGGAGACATTGACGTGTACTTTGCAAAGGTCGCATCCGCGGACGGCCAGACGATCATTGCCTTGGAGATTTCTCTTCCCCTGTTTTGCTATTTCCCCTTTCCTATCTTCTTTTCTCTGCTTTGTTGTTACTTGAAGCTCTCTTTTCTTTTTTTTTCTTTTTTTCGGGCCTTGGTTTTTACTTCTTTTCCTTCCAGTTCTTCCTTTCCTGCTAAATTCCGGGTGCGGGTGACGACTATGATGGAGGGGAATGGGAGGTGCCGGGATTGTTCTTAGACGACTCGACTCTTGGGCTTCTTGCACGGTGGTTTGGGAAGATAGTTGTTGCTTGGTCTAGCTCTCAGTCATGTTTCTAGGAAACGTCTAATCCCAGTTACATACATCAGTTCAGTGTTTTTCCTTTTTTTTTCCCTTCCCTTCTAGTTCTTGTGATTGCAATGTTTTGTAGTAAGGGTCGTAGTATTACTTGTCCTCCTTCTTACCTCTCTCGCGCTTTTTGAAAATGCCTGGGGGAGAGGGTGGCGATTCAAACGGCGATGCATCTCGGGTCTGGACCATTCAAGCTAAGGCATGCCTGTGCCTGGGCTTAATATGGACGTTAACCACCGCGCCTCCTCCCGGCCCGGCTATTGGCCGATGGGGTAAAGAGGCTAAAGTCTGTGGCGGTGCTGACCAACCAGCAGCAGACGATGGCCCCTTGGTGTGGGGCCAATGCGCGGCAAAGAAGGGAAAAGAAGGGAAGGCTTTCCGCAAATAGCTTCATAAAGCCACATACCTCGACTCTGGGTTCAATACGGACCACGTTTTAACTTTTCTTCCCCCCCTCCTTTCTCTCCAAACGGCCCAACAACTAACAAACTCAAACTTCCAAAGCCACGCGCGTTTGTACAGAGTACTCAAGATTGGTTTTCTCTGTTCAAAGGTCCACATAGTCGAAAGACTGACAGTACCTTACTGTACTAAGACTTGTCTGTCTGTCTCCCGAACCTCCAATTCGACACCAGACATCAGCCACCAAAGTCAACTCTTCCCTCTTTCTCTTGGGCTATCAGTATGGCTCGTGGCAACCAGCGCGACAAGGCTCGTGAAGCCGCTCAGAAGAAGCTGGCTGCTATGGTACGTTTTTGATCTCTTGGGTTATGTTATCTATACCTTGGGGTGTGTGGGATGGGGGTGGAATGAACGGATGAATGGTGCGCATTGGTGAGCCTCCTACACGCGGTGAGCACTGAGCAACAACAGCAGGGACGAGGTGTGGTTATTATGAGGAGGCCACAGACGACTGACAGTGTCTTTGAGAGAGTGGGGGGTGAGGGGGTGGGAGAGATAAACCCAGCTGGGGCTAACGGTGCTTTTTTTCTGGTGTAGAAATCCGGCAATAATTTGACGGGCACAGAGCTCCAGCGCGCCCGGGAGACGGCTGCCGATATCATGAGGCAGAAGCAGGCTGCCGGTGAGTTCTTGATGTTGATTTCATGCCTCTTCCCTCTCCCTCTCCCTCTCCCTCTCCCTCTCCCTCTCGGTAGTTCGGGCTTGTTCTTTTTTTTTTGTTCTCTCTTCTGTAATCACGTGGCGTAACGCCGCCGCCCCGAAGTTTCCACGCTTATAAGGGATTTTGCCCTTTATATAAGAATCTCTGCTGACATACTTGTCACCGGTAGCGGAGGCCCGCAAGGCGACTGGTGAGGCAAAGGCGGCAAAGGATAAGGCCAAGAAGAAATAAGTTGCTTCCAAAAGAAAATTGGCGGCTGGGGGAGGTGCAGCGAGCGTGTCAGACTTGGATTTTTTATTTTGATTTTCCTTCTTACCTTTCCGTTTCGTTAAACGACTTGCAAAATACCTAAATATATATAAGTATACTTTATGATAAGCAGATTGTCTCTTTTCTCTGACTTTTTTTCGTTTCCTTTGTTCTAGATCAGTCCCGATATACGCGACACTACGAGACAAGGAATGAGAGTAACAGGATAACAGGACAATGTTACCCGAGGCTGAGCGAGGGGAAGCTTTTGACCTTCCTCGCCTCGTTATATTTGTAGCTCCTGCAGGGCTAAGACAGCTGGACGAAAGCATTTCTAGTACATTGTTATTTTCTTCTCTTCTTGTCTCCCAGACTCCCAAGCCCAAGGATTTTGGGTCTTGATGTATTTTCGTTTTCTTGGATCCCGGAATTCGTGTGCCGCTGCCACGGAGGCCGGTTTCTGATTCCTCCAAATCCGCCGTCACGTGTGGCCTATTAGCCCGTGCATGCCCCACAGCGACATACCTGACATCAAGACATCGAGGTATCTCACGACGACCTCTCTTATCCCTCTTCACCTTCCACTACTTTAAACCTCCCTTACTCCCCCTTGGCTTCTCTCGTGCCCTTTTCTTCTTCGTCCACGCTCGTCCCTCAGCTCTTTCCATCGACTAATCACAAAAATGCCGTAAATATCTCCCTACGTGTATCCTTACTATTGCCGCGTCCAATAAGGCCGGCGCACCAGCAAATCCTGCTAACCGAGACACCGTAGAATGGAACCGAACTAAGGTCTCGTCTTGTCTCGCCAACGTTGGCCCCTTTACTTTACATGCTGTAGTATAGTGAGCTCTTCCCTCTCGCCCCTTTTCCCTCCTATAACCACAAGCTCATAAATGTTCTTCCAGCGCCCGATAATCACTACTTACCCGTCGCCCATTACCGCAGCGAGAGCCGACCTTAACGAATTAATTCTTAGGGTTTAAAGGCATTAAAGGATAGGCGGGAAGTCGAGGCCGGCCCTGACCTCCATGATGCCGTCTCCTACTCTCCTTATGACGTGGCGGCCTTTGCCGATAAAGCTACCGTTCTGGCCATAGCCGACTCTCCCCTAAGCTCACCTGGGGACAAATGAAGGAGGGATGATCGAGCCATCCAGCCGTGGAGCGCAAGCTTAGCGGCGCTACGATGCTTACACATAAGCAGAATAAGCGACTTCAACAGTAGATCCAGCAACTCCGGGCTCAACTCGGTATTACTAGGGATCTCGGAGCTATACGCGCTTAGATTACTTAACTAAAAGAAGAGAATAAATAACTTCATGCTTAGCTCACGGCCCCAAAAGTTAACTAGGACCAAAGTACAAGTACCCTGATCTACCTAAGTTCGACGGGTCTCGTGGACAGTTTCAGAGCTTTATTACCTAGCTTCGAAACTACTTTTTGTTTTATCAGTCCACGCTCAGTAATGAAGAGTCTAAGGTACTTCATAGAGCGGCCCTTCTAACGGGAGACGTCCACAAATAGTTCGAACCAATCCATCAAGACTATTTAGAGAATGTCGACAGACTCAAGCACCGAAACGACGAAACCATTGCGATCTTTAGTAGCTTCGAGACGTTCATTGAAAAACTCGAAGTCATCTTCGGATAACCTAATAAGAAGCGAATTACAGCCCAACGCCTCGCGAAACTCTAACAGACCAGGTCAGCTACCGAGTACACTACTAAATTTTAGTAAATTACTTCTAAGCTCGAGTACGACGATAAACCTCTTATAGACTTATACTATATGGGATTAATGGATAAAGTAAAAGACGAATTGTATAAGGTAGACCGACCAAACGAGTTTAGCGAGTTCACTGCCATAGAATCTGCATTGATAACCGATAATTCGAGCGATAAATAGAGAAACGACGGCAAAAATCCGTTCTCACTTATATCGCGAACACGAAGAAAAAGCAGCCTCATCTACGACAGTTCAGCAATACCTCTCATAGCCATCACTTAGGACCTATAGAGCTCGATCACATTAGCTGAAAGGAAGGCAAGACGAACAAAAAGTCGAAGAGAGACAGCAAGTGTTACAACTATGGAAAAACAGGACACTTTGCATGAGACTGCCGATAACCGAGGAGAGAGTACCCTTAGTAATAGGTCAATGTAATCACGAAAGAAAAACTCTAGAAGGAAGTCAATGTTATTAGACATTTGGAAGTTTGTAGAGACGAAATACCGTACGCGAACTCTTATTAGACAATGTGTTAATGTGTTATGATAACTATTATTATACACACTAATCGGAGAAAGACGGAGCTAGATACTACTCTAAAAGACGCTAGAGAATACTCGCTATAGTATCTAATAACGAGTACGAGTGCGAAAACGACATTAGTAACGGCTAAGACTAGGAAGAGGAAGAGATTCTTCGTTCAGAAGAGGAAGAATCAGAGGACAAGCAAAACGAGGACAACAGTCCGTCGTGGACTCAATATATAGGGTAAGCATCAGACAAGGAATCAGTAGGGCAGACCCGTTTAGTATACTTCCAGGCGACTAACGACAAGGAAGACCTCAATAACAAGTATCTGTAACAGCTTCACCAGCTACTAGACTATAATAGGGACGAGTATTGGTGTCAGTACTAACCCACGACAATAGCAGACAAGGACCCCGAGCAATAGGACAATAAATATGCTTAGGCACCTGCATATAAATATTGCCCTTAAGGTAGTGATCGGAGGCAAAACTCGAGATAAGGTAAAACTGCTAAGATTGAACGTCTAGTACGAGCATATAAGTTATAGAAAGGACAGCTGAGTAGAATACACGAACTATGCCTGCGGACCGCACCACGAGGAGAAGTACTATTATGACTTCTTTCCGGAAAGATAGTTAGATACTAAGGTTAAAGGCTATTAGCAGAGACTAAACTACCGACAATAGTTAATCATAGTCGCACGATGCAACGAACGATAGGTTATGTTGCAACTACCTTAGATATAGAACGATTTCTGTGGTAACCTAATAGGTTCGGTTAAGGAATATACCAGGGATTACTACGCGGCACATCTTAGAGAAAGGCTCACCAAGGCACGCCAATACGCGCATCGCAATGCTAATTACGCGATAGTCTAGCGAAGGAGATCCTGGGGCCTTAATCTACATCTGCGGATGATCGAACACTTATTAGTTCGATACGAGGTATTAGAAGCCACTGAACAACTATAAACGCCTTAACTTGCAGAATAGGTAACCACGTAGAACGACGAGAAGTATAAGACTCTTACGAGTTAGCTCGTAAATGCCACTACTACGACAAAAAACTAGGAGCATACTATCGTCAGGAGTATACGGGAGGCACTCGACGAATATACTCTATATCCTGAAGCGGAACCGGACACCGCTATATAAGGATACGACTCGAACAGAACAAGACTAACGCACTACTCGATATAGGTGTAGCAGGAAACTTTATCTTACTAGTAGCCGTGAGAAAGTTTTCTATACCTTAGGTTAGGAAGAATCTAGAGGACGAGTACGAAGTCATACTATATAACGAGAAGAACCAGTCTCAAAAAAAAGTCATTATTAATCAGGAGACTGTATACCTCTAGGTTAAGATCCAGAATAAGACTAGAATAATCAAGTTTGACGTATATGACTTAGGAGGCAAGGATATAATCCTTGGCAAACCATAGTTCAACGAATGGAATCCCAATATTGATTAGAAGACTAGCCATCTTCAGTGGAGAGAAGAGAGTGAGCAAAAGACCACGAAAGAAACCTTATCCGCTCCAAGGACGACAGTGAATCGTTAGCAGAAAGAATCGAGAAAAGATCTTCATAGACTACCAGAGTCAGGGACCTGGACGAACGAAAATCAAAAGAATCCTAGCAGACAGGAACAACGACGAAACAAGCGACGAGCAACAAACATCAGAGGAATTTACGAAGTCGTACGAGCAGAACAAGCGCTTAAGAACAACAAAAACAATAGACTCGCGAAAGTACTACAGGAGTAGGAGGAGGAGGAGTTAATTACGCCCGCCCGATTGGGTTAAGGGCAACTATCGGATAAATACATGGCCCGTTCCGGACGCTTATGTCATTTCTCGCCCAGCCCTTATCGTTCCTTCGCTATACTGTATGTCTATGGGTTATCTTGGTGGGGTTTCTCGTGGAGTAAGTTAGCAGGTTGCCCGTGAAGCCGTCTTCTTCAGGTGCCCAGTTTCTCATTTTCAGCCGCTGGTGCGGTCCTGCTGTCGTGGCACGAGGGGTGTTTAGTTAGTAATGAAGCAGTGTATAGTTTTATGCTGCTTGTTAGTCTTCTTCCAGCCGTCTCGTCGCTAGTGTGAACTTGATCGTTGCTCGTATTGCATCCATGTCCGGCTCCCAGTCGGTCGGGTCTGTTCTTGATTTTCCTCCTAAGTGCAGGGACAAATTACCGGTTCTCGCTCCTGTCTCTTGCTGCATTTCTCCTCGTTGATGGTTCCATCTCTGGCATCGGAACAGAAAGTGTTCCACCGTCTCTATGGCCTGTCCGCAGGCACACACTCCGTCTAGTGTGGCTCCAATTCTGCTCAGGTAGCCCTTTAGTCGGATCATCCCTGTGCGCAGCTGCGCGAGGACCCTGGCTTGCCTTGCTGATAAACCGTCATATATTGTGCGCGTGTGCCTCCCTGGTAGTGCATTGTCGATTCTCCTGGAATATGTCCCAACGCGTGCCGGTAAGGGCGCATACCCTGTTTGCGCTCTCCGGATCGAGGCGAGTGCCGTCGAAGAGGCTCGGTACGGTTTGCACATCTCCGTCTTGTCGGGGTCAGCATGGCGTTGAGCTTCTCTCTTTGCTGTCCGGACTTGTGGTGAGTCCTTATCCGTCGATATCCAACCGATGCGAACCGTCACTCCGTCGTCCCGCAGGTCGCTTGTAATGTCGTAGATGCGTCGTAAATCTTCCTGTCCTGATTGATGGCGGGGTCTGCTGATGGCCTGTGTTGCGGCCTTGTTCCTGGTGAGGACGATAACTTC